TCTATATATAGAGGGTCACTTTGGTTCACTTCTTTGGATACCAACAAGCCTAAACCAGACAAAGGACTCAGGTTTCAGTGCAATAACAGAGGGCCATTACTAGCTATGATGAAATAATTGAGGGACACTTATTATCTGTTTTTGATTTTACATTACCATTTTTTGTTTCTTGTCTTTTGCTCAGCCATCAATGATACTTCTGTTGAACGTTCAAATATTTGTCAAGTTTTTAGAACACAAGTACTTGGAATTATATCTATCAGTTGGGAATTATTGCACTACTTACATGCATATATATCTCAACCATCTACATTATAAAAATATTGTTGTTCTTCTGCATCTACAGCTACTGAATCTTACTGGGATTTCCATAATTAATGAAAATAAGAACATAAAAATTAAAGCCATAATGAACAAAAACAGTGAAGTTAATTAAGATATTTTAGGTTTGTGAGACACTATTGGCTGATTGCTGGTTCCCAAGAGTAAAGAGCTAAAGTTAAATATTCTGGAATCGAGCCATTTGAGCTTTAGCCAAAAGTCAACAAAATGCTTAAAAAGTATTAATTGTTTCAATGGTAAGTACCATAGTTTAATACTAATTAACTAATTATTAATTAGATTAAGAAAAAAGATGATTAGATTTGTAGTCCTTCACAATTGGGAAGGATAATTGCCACTTTGCTTTTTTGGAAGAAGCATGTGTTGAGAATCCATTTTCCATCATCTTCACTATCCTTTCCAACTCAACAAACAAGTGTATAGGCATCTTCCCTTTTTTTTTTTTCCATCATTATTTAATTCTACTATCTTCTTCACCCCCCTTCCATTCTGTCTCTCTCTCTCTTCAAATAAATAATTAATTAATTAGCGATAAAGTGAGTTAATTGTAAATTTTTCTATAGATATGTTCGATGGAACTGAGATGTTACCACCTTAATCTTGTCGCATCTTTAATTTTAAAGGAGATTTATTTTTCCTTGAAAGTTATCCATTTTGATAATATTGAACATATTTTCATACTAAAAATAATAATTTTTAGAGTCGTTAACTTTTATTTGCAAAATATTAATTTTATAGGTGGCAAAATTTTTGTAGCAATAATTTTCAAATTTTTCTATTATCTAATAGGTATTTAGTTGATCTAATTTTACAAGCTGAAGTGTTTAATAAAATGATTTTGCAAGTCCAATTATTTAATAGTATAATTTTATAAACTGAAATGTTTCAATAAGTCAAAATAAAAGTTAGACATGCGATAAAATTAAAGTAATAAAATTTAGGGATATATTTATATATTCCGCCAAAATAAATGACTAAATTTATTAAATATACAATATTATTTAATAAACAAACATAAAAAATGAATAATATTTGGGTTCGATCCACACCAAACACATGTATAGGGAGGGTCGAATAGCCTTAACTGTGACTAAGCTTCAAGCCAAAATAGGTGGTCTATGATAATAGGATCTGAATACTGGTGGTTTATACCAAAAAAATAATTTATAATATTAAATTATACTCTCTCGTCCCATATATATAGACTCATTTTCCTTTTTTGTCTGTCCTAAAATGTAGTCCTATTTCCTTTTTTAGAACATCATTTATTATCTAATTTCTTAACATACCTCTGTTTAATGTACATCCACATTTTCAATTGATGTCCATTATCTAATATTATAAAGGATATTTTGGAAAAAAACTAAACAAAAGATATAATTCAACTAGGGATGTCAAAATGAGTCATGACACGTGAACACCATTCATCTAACACGCGAAATAAATGGGTTAGGGTTGAGGTTAAGCGAAGTCGTGTCATAAACGGCTCACCCATTTATGAAATGAATATAAACGTGTCGTGTCATGAGTTGACGCACAGGTTAGGCGAGTGATCCATTTATTTTAGGGTAAAGAGATAATGTTAGTGTCAAATATAAATACCTAACTAAAACTCGATTTAAAATTTATTGTTGTATTAATTTTTGTTATTTTAGTTATGAATCTTGGAAAATCTATACATTATATATATATAATTTTATTTGAATTAAATAGATTAAAATTTAAAAATATCATAAGCAGGTTAAGTGGGTCATACACATGTCAATACGATTCACTTAATTTGTTTATAATATTAGGCGGGTTACACGGGTAATATACGGGTCAACACACTCATTTAACTTGTTTATGATATTAGCCGAGTTATACGTATCGTATTCGTGTCACTTGCCTAATTTTCATGTCGTGTTCGTGTTGAGAAATTTGACACGATTATTAAATAGATCGTATTCGTGTTGACCCTAATCGTATATCGCGTGTTAGGCGAATCCGTGTCAAATCCGACATGCCAACCCGTTTTGATACCCTAAATTCAATCATATTAATTAATTTTTCTTAATCAATGTTGAAGTCAAATTAGGCCTATATATGCGGGAAGGAGGGAGTATCATGTACTAATTCCCTTGAAAATAATGAGATATTCGCTTCTTTTACAAGAAATAAGATTACTATAGCATTAATATTGATTTCGAAATATATATAAAAATAAATAGAAACTATAATGACACCTAGCATATGGCAAAAGCTAATGTTCTAGAAATTTAAAGATTTCAGGTACAATCTCCACCTCTGTTAATCCTACTCTTTAACAGGTTATCTCATAATCTCTTAGAAAAAAAAAATAATGATTATTATTATTATTATTTACTGTCTTTGCTTTTCTTTTATTATTTTTATTTACCATTTTTTGCTTGTCTTATTAATTTATGATTATTATTTTATTTTTATTTAGTATTTTGCGAGTCATAATAATTTTTGAGGTTTATTCCTTCAGCTGGGAAATGACTGAAGCATGTGCCTCAGCACCTGGTGAAATACAATCACATCAATCTTCACTCTTTACTGGCTAATGTTTTATGTTTAAAAATCTTACGGTATAAATTAAATTAGATATGTAGAATTGTTATCTCTAAAATTAAACAATGAAAAACGTAAAAGGTTAAGACAATTAAATTCTTCTTTCAAAAAAAAAAAAAAAATTCCCATAATTCTATAAGTAAATTTTAATTGAATATGTTTAAGGAAAAAAAAAAATACTATTTATGTGTAAAACCAATTAGCATATATAAGAGCTAATGAATTAATTAAAGCAAGAATATAATGATTGCAGAGTAAGGATGTGCAGTGTTTGTTCAGTGATTAAATGGACGTTCAGAAATCTCTGATATAAATCTTCTTAATCATAACAGGAGAAAATATATATGTATATATATATATATATATATAAAGAAATTTAAGAAGAAAAGTTTCTAAGTAGTTGATGATCAGTTTGAAGATCTACCAGAAAGTTACATAATCCCCGCATTGAAGGAAAGGAATCGGTGAAAGTGAAAATTTTTTTTACGCAGGTCTCAGCAATAATTCTGTATTTGACCTATTTATATAAACGCCTGTACTTGTCAATCAATCACCCATACAAAGAATTCAAACATGCAATTTCATATATTCTGACTTGACAAAACCAACTCCTCCACAGAGCTTCTTCTAAAGAATAGTGTTGCAGATGATATGTCTGGTTCCTTTGGCCCCATCTCCACATCCATGCATATATTTATCACAATACTATTATGTATTGTTTATGTTTTTTTATGTATATATATTTTGTTGATTCAATTACAGGGCAAACTAAATTTATTAAGAAATTATAAATAAAATTCAAACCTAATGTCGGCAGAAATTGAACCTTGTACCTGAAACTTTTGAGTCTCAGGACCTCAATTTTATTCATCAGATTGAAGCCACGTTAACTAGAATTTTATCCATGCAGTATACGTGGATCCTACTAGCAAAGACTGTCTAGTCCGCCTCAGGGTTTAGTATTAGTTAAGACTCTTCGCCTCTTCCTACAGGTGTCGTTAATGAGAATCGAATCCGAAAGCTCTTCTCACATGCAGCCTATATTGTCTACTAAGCCACACCCCTTGAGTAGATGGTAGTAGTTTTTAATTCTACTTAGTGTTACTTATTTGTATGTTTGTTTAGCTACTCATTCAAAATGTGCACCATTGTTTTGCATGTAATGTTACACTGTGATGAAGAGAGCAATTAAATCACTTAAATTATAATAATAAAATATCACTTAATTTGACTAAAATCAACTTTTTTTTTATCTAATCAATTTAATCTCAATAATTATCTTGGTGATAAAGTTGGTATAGAAAATTGTTAAATATAGTTAATAGAGATGCGACTAAAATTACAATAATTATGGGCGAAATTATTGTAAGAAAACGACATATAAAAATAGACGAATGAAATAATTAGAATATAATTTTAATTAATTATAAATTAAAAAGTCATTCTAAGAGCCCAAAGGAAATTAGACATGTACAATATTTAAGATTGAAGGAAGAGCATTTAAAAGATTACCTTAAAATTGAAAACCAAGTCATGCAAAAATGAAAGAGGCAAGATTTGGTTGTAACTAAGAAGGGTTAAAAATTCCTTTGTGTAAATAATGATTACGGCCCGCATTGAAAGAGACTACACGACTCTTACTTCAACTTTACAAAAGCTGATTATATTTAAAATTTAATCTGGTTTCGCTAATACCTAGCTATCATTAAATCACAGTAACTTTTTATTACCCACTTTTACTTTTCTTCCTTTCTTTTATTTATTTATTTATTTTTTACCTTTGCAAACATGAAAAGAAAGGTCACGTGAGGAGGAGGATGGGAGGTCACGTGTGAGAGAGAGCTCTCAGGCCTGCAAAATATTCATGCAATATTACAGTGTGATATGAACAATGACTGTTTGTTTTGTTGTGAGGAGGATGTTTTTTTGTTTGTGTCCAAATGTGTGGGCTCAAAGTTTGAAGTAAATTGGGATTGGGTCAGCCAAACAAGCCCCAAGTCTCTCTCTTTCTTTTTATCTAAAAAAGAAACAACTGTAGAGGTAGCGGTAGAGAGAGAGAGCTTATAAAGCTTTATATATATACAAAGAGACTTTACCTGCACAAAGAAGAAGGGGTGGAAGAGTCAATGAAGCGAAGAAAAGCTAGCTAGAGAGAGAAAGGAGAGATGGCAAAAACTAAAGCTAAAAAGCTTAAAAGCTTAAAGAAAGTTGATTGCAGAAAGCAAGAGCTTTTTCTTTCTCCACGTTCTCTCTCTTAAAAAACCTTTTCTTTTCCCTTTAATTTCTTTCTTTATCTCTCTACCCATTTTCTTTCAATCTATCTATCTATCAGTAAAGCTGAAAACCCCACTACACCAAAAACTTCACCACCTGTACAGGGTAAAGATTGATTTCTTTCACTTCACCAATAACAACATATAATCTTCAAATCCCAACAATAATCCATCCATGCTAGACAACACCACCACCTCCACCACCACTTCCAGCGCTGCTCCTTCTCCTTCTTCTGATCCCTTATTCCCCGCCTTGGATAATGGGCTCACCAACAAAAGAAAAAGAAAACCTGCTGGTACTCCAGGTTTGTTTTTATTACCGGGTCCAACATACAAGCTTCAAATTCTTGCTTGTATTCTGCTTTCGTTTTTCAAGAATATAATTCTTGGGGGTTCTTTCTCTTTGTATTTTCTTTATCCAATAATACAATTCATGGGTTTTTTTTCCTTTCTTGTTTGTCTTAATCTTTTCTTAAATAAAAACAGCTTTTTCTTCTTTTTTTTTCGTTGTTTTTGATTTTTTAATTTTGATCGTTATAAAATAGATCCAGATGCAGAGGTTGTATCTTTATCACCAAGGACATTACTGGAATCAGATAGATATGTGTGTGAGATCTGCAACCAAGGGTTTCAAAGAGACCAGAATCTACAAATGCATAGGAGAAGACACAAAGTGCCATGGAAATTGTTAAAGAGAGAGACGCAAGAGGTAAAAAAGAGAGTTTATGTGTGCCCAGAGCCTAGTTGCTTGCACCATGACCCTTGTCATGCTTTAGGAGATCTTGTTGGTATAAAGAAGCATTTTAGAAGAAAACATAGCAATCATAAGCAATGGGTTTGTGAGAAATGCTCTAAAGGTTATGCTGTTCAATCTGATTACAAAGCTCATCTCAAGACTTGTGGCACTAGAGGCCATTCTTGCGACTGTGGCCGGGTCTTTTCCAGGTATGTTATCCTTAGTTCATTGGATTTTATTCTCAATTAAATTAGATTTTCCACTATTTTCATCTACAAACCCTAAAAATCCTCATGATAAGCGTATTTTTCTGCTTCATATAGATTTTTCGATGGAAATGTTTTTAAGTTTTCTGAATCCAAGAATGATTTCAGGCTTGCTTGCCATGTTTATATATGTGATATTGTGATCTAAGCTTCTTTCAAAAAAGAAAAAAAAAAAAAAAGAAAAGAAAGAAGTTTCCATTTACCCATTTAACAAACAAAAAAGTCATTTGTAAACTAAAGAGTAAAGACCCCATCAATTTTTATGTTATTTTAAACTTATCTGTGTACTTAATTTAATATATGAAACCTAGTCATCATATACTCCATGTTACAGATCCTCAATCAATATTATAATATTTGCTTCTTGGCAACCCTACACGACAAAAGAAAAAACCTTAATTACCTGTAATTGGGAAGAAAAGAATTAATAAACCATACACAATATATAATATGTTGACCGAATCCAATAGTATATAAGTAAGTATCCATTTGAATTATTCCAATTTCTTGTGATTTCAGGGTTGAAAGTTTCATTGAACATCAAGATGCTTGTACAGTAAGGCGAACTCAGCCTGAACTACAAGCGCTACAACCTGCTTGCTCTTCAAGAACAGCTTCAAGCACCAGCCCTTCAAGTGATGCCAATTTTAGTATCACCCCGTTGCAAGGACTGCCTATTCCAAAACCAAGTGATCAACCTGTCTTTTTATACTCATCTTCTGATAGATATGATGCTTCTACTAGTAGCCATCATCAAGAACACAATCTTGAACTTCAACTACTACCCTCTTCCACAACTCGCATGTTGCAAAACCCTGATCAAGAGCGTTACCCTACAAATTTAAAGCTTTCGATAGGGTCAAGTGACCGTACAATCGAAAAGAATAATGACGGTAATAAAGAAAAAAATATGGCCAATGATTCTACTGGTGAAGAAGCTGCAAGACTTAAAGAAATAGCGAATGAGCAAATGAAGTTAGCAATGGCGGAGAAGGCTTATGCAGAAGAAGCAAGACAACAAGCAAAGAGACAACTTGAAATGGCTGAGCTTGAATTCGCAAATGCAAAAAGGATAAGGCAACAATCTCAAGCTGAACTTGAGAAGGCTCAAGTTTTAAGAGAACAAGCAACAAAGAAAATAAGTTCTACTATAATGCAAATTACTTGTCAAGCTTGCAAGCAACATTTTCAAGCTCCGGCTGCCGCGGTGGCTGCGCAGGCAGATGAGACGTCTCTTGCTATGAGTTATATGTCCTCAGCAACAACTGAAGGAGAAGGAGAGTGATCATATATAGATAATAAATATATTTAAGTAAAATTCTTAAGCATTTGATTTGGTTTTTGGTTGTTGATTTTAAATTTGCTCTGGCCATATATATCAAATTAGGTGTTTCAATTAATTAACCATTGTTGTTGTGTTAATTAATTAATTAATTAATTAATTTGGAGTGGTGCAACGGTTCTTAATTATTGTGCTGATTTTAAAAAGAGAAAAAAAAAATATATATATATATATATATTTTCTTTAATTTTAAAGAAAAACAGACATCATGATTGGTTCTTATAATAGTACATGTGGTGCATTATTTACATGAAGATTCCCAGGAAAAGAAACTGAAATTACACTCAATTATATTCGTAGTGAGTGAGACCATACTCAATTATAGTCAAAACGAGTGATTTGAATTTTTTTTCCCTTGTTTAATTAGCTTTTTGATTGAAAAACAATAGCATCTAATGATATTTTTCTTAATTAGTACATAAAAAGCTATTGATTACCTGGTTTTTCATGTTTTTTTTCCTTTACTATGATGGAGAGGTTTGTGTTTCCTCTTTTACTATCCCTCTAGGCTCATTATTCAAGCTATAAATTATTTTGTGATGTTATGATGAATTGCAAAAATAATAATAACCCACGAGTGGTTAGTTTAACGGAAATAAGTAAATTTTACTTATTTAAACAATTTAGATTATTATTATTAGAAAAATTTTATCTGAATATAACTCTGATTCGCAGAAGGAGAAAGAAAAGTTAAATTTACTAATTAAAAAATAATATGAAACCATAGATTTTATTTTCTTTCTATTTTTCACCAGTGGGTGAATTGTGATGGGGCATGTGACCGTTGGTTTTGAATGGAGTTTTGCTTTACATTTGGGTTATGTTAAAGATTATAATGGTGTCAACAAAAAAAGTGTAATGATTAGAAACATGAGAAGAGAGGAGAGGGTAAGAGCTGACTTTAAAATCAATAAATTATTAGCAAAAGAAGGCTGTCTCCAATTCATACACCTTTAGTTGTAAGTTGGAAGCATTAAAAAAATAAGTAAAAAGGAAGGTTTCAAAGGCATGCAAAATCTTGAAAATACATATAGATGTGCATGAGAAGAAGGGAAAACGAGAAAAGAAAGAAAAGACCCTTTCTTATTAATATGCAAAAATTTCTTGACAAATGGATTAAAAATTAAATATTTGATATTGGTTTGGTTAATATAGAAATTAGAGAAATAAGAAAGGGGACCATTTGCTAAAAAATAGGAAGAAGTATTCAAAGGTGCTGACCCTTATTTCAACCCAAATTCAATGTTAAATGTGTTTTAGAGAAAGAAAAAGAGAGAGAGAGAGAGAGAGAGAGAGAGGAAGAAGGGAAAGGGAATGTCATTTTCATTGCATTTGTGTCCCCTTTAAATGCTTATAAAAACGCCATGTTTTTCAGTGCCACAGTTGAAATGGTTATGGACAGGCACTCGTCCCTCTCAACACATGAACAACACACAAACTCTCAAATATCGTCTCTCTCTCTCTCTCTCTCTCTCTCACACACACACACTCACGCCATGTAAAAATAAAATTTATCAGAATCTGCAGAAAAGGGAGCAGAGAGGGGCAACAGTACCCTTCTCATTAATGGAGACCCCAATTTGCAATACATGACTCTCAGTTTAAGACTCTTCGTAGTTTTTAATTTTTCATAAAAATATAAATGGGTTTTGTTAACATTTTCAGAATTTTAAGTCTTAGTTCAACAATACATAGAATTAGCTTAGTTCACAAGTCAATTTTTTTAAATCTTATTAATCATAATTCAATTTTTATAATTAGGACATGCATAATATAAATAATATAAAAGCTTAAAGTTTCACTGAAATTGCTATTATCAGTTGCAGTTTCAGAGCAACGTAGATTCACTAACATCACTTATCATTTTCGAAAGAAGATAAAAAAAAATAATAATAATCGGTGCTCAAGAAAACACCAACAATAGTGATGTTTTCTTTTATTTTGTCCTTTTTAAAAAGAAGATAAAATAAAACGAAATATTTGATAAATACTCAAGAAATTAATCATCAGCGGTAGTGGTGGTTTTTTGAGCATTTCTGGAAGAATATAAAACTAAAAAAAAAAAAAATTAATAGTGCTCAAGAAACTAACATTGTTAGCAAATTGTAATTTAATTTCTTAAGATTTTTATTTTTTTTCATTTGAAAGAAGATAAAATAAAATAAAAAATTAATATGTCCTTCAAAAGTTAGTATTTACAGTAGCATTTTGTTGAGCGCTCAGACCGCCAATGTCAGCGGTGACTGCAGAGCAACTTTAATTTTTTTTTTTTTTAATCATTTTAATTTACTATAGAAACCGCCACTAATCGCGGTGGTCACATAACTCTAGAATCAACTTCCAGTTTCTTGCATTAACTTTGATAAAATTCTTCTAAAATCACATTAGATTGGTAAATATTTCATCCGTTTCGAAATATAAGAGGTTTAAAATTTTTAAATGCATATTAAATTAATTTTTATTAGTTATATAAAATTTCACATTTATCTCACATCATTATATTATATTTAATATAAATAAAATTAAAATTAAAAAAATTATTTATTATTTTTTAAAATATTCATATATTTTGAGACAAAATAATCATTATAAAATGATTTTTATATTTTGAACGGAGAGAGTGCTGAATCATTTTGAAAGTTGTATTATTATGGCCAAGAACCCCTTTATTTGTATCATATTGTTGCCATTCATACATGGATTAATTATATTTAATTTACTGTGTCTGAATTTTTTAATTTTTTATGCTTTATTATCAGAATAGAAAAATTGCAATTGAGTGTTTTAACTATTAAAAAGTTACAATTTAGTGCATTTATCTGGATTATTTTATCAAAAAATTTAATGAAATATTTTACTCAATCAATAAAATTAAACATAAATATACATTGAATTCGTCTATATTATTTATTTATTTATTTTATATATCTTCTCTAAAAAAATCTCAAAATTCCTTTCAATTTTCTTTTGCTTATAAAATAAAATTAAAAAAATAAATAAGAAATAAAGGTAATAATCTAAAAAAAAATATAAAGTAAAACAATAGATAAAGTAGTTCACTTTGATTTTTTCGTTAAGAAATTATTACTAAATGTATTTAAATATATAAAAATTATTAGTTCAGACATAAAAAAATAAAAAAAATTAGACATTACAAAAATATAATTAACCCTACTTTTATATCCATGTCTAAAGCATTTTAACTCTAACTCCACAATATGTGAAAGTGGACAATCCATAAAACTAGCAATTAGCAATAAAATTTGATTTTATAAATACTAGATTGATCTCCAAAGTTTGAGACTGCACTTAAGTTTAAAGATTTATTAGATAAAATTAATTGTTTTAGTAGTTATTAATTATTGTAATAATTGTTAATTATTTAATTAGCGTTTTATTAAACGTAAAAATGAGTAACGTTTCATAATTTGTTCCCTCAAATTATGAACATTAATACAGACACTTCATCACTAAACACGGTAAATAATAATTAAAATGCTAAAAGCTATATACAAAAACGATGCGTAAATCTCGATTAAGATATTGTTTTTTTTTTTTATGTGGGTAATTTGTCAAGTTTTTTCACAATTTAAACCAAGGGGGAAAATTGCAAATATGTACGAGGAGGGTTTTGGCGTTTGGGTTTTCTTCCTCCGCTGCTTTGTTTTGCTTGGGACCACGTGGTGCTCTTTCCCCACCTTTTAATGCAGCTTCCTTTTTTTTTGTCCACTAGATTTGGCCGTGGTGGATGGCACTTTCGTTATTTTCATTATATTCAAGACTTGGTTTTCCACTTGCTCTTTTCTTTTTCCTCATTATCTTTTTCTTTTTAGCCCAACCAAATTATTAAAACCAAAAATTAAAATTTTGCACTTTAATTTGTTATATATATACACACATATCCAACCCAATTCATAGATGCAAAAAATATATTTAAATTTAGGTTTATTTTAATATTCCAAATACTTTTTATTGTAAATTTATTTCCAAAATAATTAAATAAAAATAAAAAATAACTATATTTAGTTTAAACTATTAAATTCTAGTATATATATTTTCAATCATTTTATTATTTTTAACTACTTAACATGTTAACTATATATTTTCAATCATTTTATTAATTGAATGATGTTATTTTCATCATATTGAAATGTTTTAATTGAAGTTGATGCTCAAGAACTTTTTCATGCTTTGCATGCTCCTCTTAGAAACCAAACCGAGTTTGGTTTAGTGTAGATGATTGTGTTGACACTAATGTTAACCTGAGTTGGGTTGGAAGATAAGCCAACGAAGTCTCTCAAAACTTAATTAGCAAGCTAGGGTAGCTTTTCCCCATGCTCGTTTTCAGATTTTGTATGAACTTTTCTTGTTTTTACTGATTGCTCTTAATGAAATTCTTACCTTTTCATTCCAAAAAAAAAAAAAAAAAAAAATAAAACTTAAGTTTAGCAAAGCTTAGGGTAGCCTTTCCCCATGCTTCGTTTTCAGATTTTGTTCGATGAACGGTGTCTTTCTTGTGTTGGTTTACTGATTGCCTCTTTTAATGAAATTCTTACCTTTGTGGTCATTTTCCAAGAAAAAAAAAGAAAAGAAAAAAAGAAAGAAGAGAAAAATTATGTAACGTAGTGATATTATTGAAGATATAACAGGTAAGACACTGCTTGACCGTTGAGGTTAATGTAAAGTTTGTATTTTTTTTTATTGTTTTGCCCGGAATATTAAGCTGCGTGTGGCTAATTAGAAAAAAAAAAAAAAAAAAAAAGAAAAAGAAAAATATGTTAACTATATATTATGAAATAAACAGTAAACTCTTACCGTTGAGTTAATGTTAAAATTTTATTTTTTTTTTTTTTTTGCCAATTAAGTGTGTGCTAATAGATTTTATGTCTTATAAAAAACGTTGGGTGCAAAAGTCTGAGTTTGAGTTCTATCTATTACAATTTATCATTAATTTAGTGAATATTATTAAAAGAAAATGTGTCAAAATTCTTTGATGTATGAAAAAAAAAATGGGTAAGAATTTTTTTAGGTATTCATGTAATTGATTATTACAATATTGCAAGAAAATGTAAGATGATGTGGAGTTCAAATGGTACGAGTGGTGCCTTAAATTTCGTATTGGATCTCTATTTTAGATAATTTATGTTCTTTACTTCCCTAAACATTTAAAAAAAATTATATTTCGCCCCCCAAACTTGATTTTCTAGTTCTGCCCTCATTGTACATAAATATTTCATTAATAATATAATATATAAAATTAAAAATCAGATAGGCTTGGGCATGAACGACAACATGGCAGTACCATTAATTAAAGCAAATAAATGGGAAGAGTATATGAAGGGGAAAAACACTAAAATGGAAGGAAAATGGGTCTATTCATTCATCTTTTGACAGGTAGGCCGTAGGACTAGTATTTCTTTGCAAATTTTTTTTTTATTTTAAAAAATAAATACATAAATAAATTAACAATAAATAAATAGTAATACTATTATACCCTACAAAAGTTAGGGAAAAAGTGACTTTGTGTAGATGTCCTAATCTTCATTGATAGTGTAGAAAATCTCTTCCACATGGAATGCAACAGTGGTGGAGGGAGAAGATGGAAAAGGACTACCCTGCCTTAAGAAAGGTACATTCATGGACATATTTATACAAGTGGACAAAAATATCCTCATCCTTCTTGGCATTCCTTCTCATATGTAATGATGGGACCTTAGCTTTTTCTTTTATTTTTCCAAAACAACCTATTAAAAAAATCCACAACAAAAATAGAATATGACATCAACGGTTGAGAATATTTCCACAGTGTGATTTTTTAAATTTAGCATAAATAGCTTGTTCCGATATTTTTTTTTTCCATATATGAAATGAAATCCCATCCATATATAAATCAGATCATAGGTCCTAGACTCTTAGTCCTTCTTTCTTTCTTTTTTTTTTTTTTTTTAAAGTGAAATGAAATCCCAGTCCCAAGTATATAAATCAGGATCATAACGGTGCCTAGACCTCTTAGTCCTTCTTTCTTTTCTTTTTTTTTTTTTTTTTTAAGTGCCCTGCCTAATAATATATGTGAATCATTATCACATCAGAAAATATATCGGAATAGTATTAGTTTGGGCGCGCTGATTGATGACGTGTTATATATAGTATTACTTGCAGATTATGATTTTCCTGTTAAGCGATGTTATGATTGATTTGAAAATGTTAATTTATAAATTCATCTTATTTATTTTTTAAAAAATAATATTTGTGTTTTTTGGCTTCTTTCTAAAAAAAAGAAAAAAAAAAAATTGTGGTAGGCCAAGTGATTTTACCAAAGAGACCTAAATTTGATGCGATTCTGAAAAGGTCCACTGTATTGCAAAGCCCACCAAAACGCTTGTTTGAACACAATTGGGTAATTGGTTCAAAGTCACCAGTGATTGAGATGAAGCAATTCAAAAAAAAAAAAAAAAAAAAATTGTGGTAGGCAAGTGATTTACCAAAAGACTAATTTGATGCGATTGAAAAGTCCACTGTATTGAAAGCCCACCAAAACCTGTTTGAACAAATTGGGTAATTGGTTTCAAAGTCACAGTGGATTGAGATGAAGCAATTCAGGCATTTATCCCACCAAAACCACTTGCATTGCATCCCAAATTATAACCAACATTGCATTTGTGACATCTTAATGCAAATTTTATTTTTACTTTATTTTTATGTTTATAACCTCAATTTTAAATCATTTATCTTTCTATACATTTATAACTATATTATTGAATGCTGACATAATATCAAGTCAAAAATTTCTACTTTTTTTTTTTTTAATTTTAGTCACCGGTATCTAAAGCCTACTAGTACTCGACTAATCTGGATTCGCACTGAGCAGGTCCACAAAGTGAGACAGCGCTCCCTTCTGAGTATTTAAAGGGAGGGACTCCATATCCATGGTTCGAACTCGAGACTTCTGATTAAAAAAAAAAAATCTCTATCATCTCATCTCATTCCTCGGGATCACTTTTTTGCTCTTTTAAACTTGGGATTTTCACTTTTATTTGGTTTGTCTGAATTAGTTTTTTTTAGCACCTTTGATGGAATTAATTCTAGACTATTTTATATGTATTTGTAAATATGGTTTCAAGAACTCTCACAAATTATATTTATTTCATTAAAAAATGTTCTTTATTTATATTTGTAGATTTACGTACTTGCAAGTCGCCATCTATCAGTTTTTCTCTATTCTCATCATGTTTATTTATGTAAGAAACCAACAATCAATCTATAACTATACTCACTGTCCAAACAATTAAAACTGTTAATTCATAACTAATTAAAATAAAAATATATATATTCCCAAACTAATTATAAAATATAGAGTGATGCTGGTACTATATATGAAAAAAAATTCAAATCCAACCCAGAAACCTACCTGAACATTCTACCAAAACACAATTGAAACAATAATATTGAAATGTGAATCATCATGCAGTTAATTTTGTTCAAAAATAGAAAAAGAAAAGAAAACCACACTAGAGGGTAGAGCACAAATCTCCCAAGGCCTAACCATAACCCAGCCCAATTGAGAGAAAATAGAGCCTATTTCTTCAGTTTTGGGCTCTTTTGAATAGGGTCAGAAATGATAAAAGTGAGGACACTCCAAAGCAAAGAAAACCCAAGAGAAGAAGAGTTGCAGAGACATAACCCATAGTAAAGAAATCATCCATTTGGGTTCTGAATTCTGATAGCAAATTGGAACCCAGTTTTTTAAAAATATCATCAAGCTGATCAAGGTTTTCCTTGAGATCATAAGTTGCTCCAAATCCTGCTCCAACCCCACTAGCCAGGAAGCATAATATCACCTGTTCAAATTTGCCAGCATCAATATCTGATGATCTTTACAGGAACTCTCAATAAAATTTCAGGAAAAAAAACTCTTGAAACAATAATTTCGTACTCACTTTATCGCTGAAAAAGTCGAAATAAATTGCAGCAACATTTTTTATCAGGCGTTTCCCTGTGCTTATATGGTAGATTGCAAATGGTAATTGAAAAAATGTGTATGCTATTCCGATCACTGCTGCAGATAGCATATACCTACCATGTCCATAATCAAACAGACTCATCATCAAGAAAGTAGGTTAAAAATAAAAAGCTGGAAGCAGATAGAGATTAGGAATTTTAAGATGCTTGGAAATGGAGAAGTCTGTTCACCTGTACGAGTAAATATACTTGAGACGCATTGTGACTTCTTGCGATGATAAAAGAGCTTTAAATGTGGCAGAATCGGTTGCAAGAATAATAACACTTGTCAAGAGCAAAAGCATTGCAAATACTCTCAGTATAAGTGTTGTTATTGGTAAGGCCTTGGAAATCTCAGGTTCTGACATTTTTATGATTTATGACTGTATGTGCTTTTTGAACAAATGCAATATTGATCTATAACTAACCTATTTGTTTTTAAAGTAGTTGTTTTTTGTATTCATCGAGAAAACCAGAGGAAAAGAGACGTTAACTTTGAAATAGTTTAATGGGTTTCTTGCTTTTAGCCAGTTGGAGGGGAAATGCTCAACTTGCTGAATAGCTAGATAGTTTAATATAGAGTGGAATTGTGAAGAAGCTAGCTAACGTTTGACAATAACTATGAACAATAATTTCGATGTGTTCAATAATAATTATGACTTAATGACAGGTGCATCAAATTTTAATTTGATGTCTAATTAAAAATTACAATCGGTATTAATCTCCTGTTATACGTAAAACCAAAATTTAAAAAAAAAAAAAAAAAAAACTAATTCTCGATGTGTTTCAACTAATAATTATGACTTAATGACCAGAGTTGATTCAATATTTTAATTTGATTTGTCATAATTTTAAACAATTACAATCGGGTAGTTAATCCTCCTGTTTATACGTAAAAACCAAATTTTAAAAAAAAGACGAAAAGAGAAAAAAAAAAAAACTCCAATTAACTTATTCTTCACAGTCTTGTACCAGACTGGAAAGTCAACCTCTCCAAGATAATTTTAACAAAATTTAAAAAAAAAAAAAAAAAAAACTCCAATAACTTATTCTCAAGTTTACAGACTGAAAGTCACCTCTCCAAATAATTTTAACAACATACTCAATCTTTTTTGTTTATTTGTCTAATTCACCGTAAAATTGCGTTTACGGAGTTTAATGTTTGTTTCTTTCGATGGTTCTGCTTCATTTATCACTCTCTGCCATTCCAATCTGTAATAGAATAGTTCCTAAAAATTGAATAATTAATTGATAAAGTCAATTCTTAATTAAGGTTTGATGTGAACTGATTTTTCAGTTATTTTTTTCGTTTTTAGTGTTGACTTTAAGAAGCTCCGTAAGGATTTGCGGACTGCAAAAGAATATTAATATAAAACCTAACACATTGATTTTACGAGCTTACTTTGAAGTTTAAGTATATATTTCTGACTCTATGGTTGATTCAGAGAAGCCTTTTCTGATATTTATTATGAAAAATGAGAAAACTGAAAGTAACGCGACGCAAAGAAATCTAACCAAAAAAAAGAACTGTGACAATGTAAGCTTTGTGAAGGAACTTGAGGTCCTGACAGAGGTAAAACTGGACTTTAAATATTGAAAAACGAAAATGAACATTGGAGTTAGTTATTATAAATTTATAATACTCCAATTATAGTGGATCATGCTGAAGTGAAAAGCAGGTAGGAAAGAAATTGGATAATTTGCCTCAATCTATTGCAGTTTGACATGATGCTACAATAGTGTAAATCTTTTTAGCTGTATTTATCTATACAGGGATGGAATGAGTTGCCCATAAACTCGCTCAATTATCTCTCTATAAACTCGACTCAAGATACTTGATTTAATGGTTGAGGCGAACTAAATCCTATCTTAGCACTTGTAAGATTGAGTCGTGAAGTCGGCATTTCTAGAATAAATTTTAATATAATCGCTCTCGGTCTAAAAAAAATTAGTCTCTCATCCAATCGTTAAATAGAGAAAAAAAGAAAAAAAAGGAATCAGCTCTCTCTTTCGGGAGTTGAGAAAGTTCCTCCTTCAATTGTTCCATACGTTTGCTCGGTTAATTCTTTTTAGTTTTAATGTTATGGTCTTTCTTCAAAAAAGAGGAGAAAAACGAAACAAGTTTTGTAGTGACCATGGATTCAACAGTAGTGCTTGCTTAGGCATCCCACATGCATTATATATATTCCAATCAATTACCAACATTCTACTTGTGACATCTTTTTATGAATTATACCTCAATCTAAATTTTTTTAAATCCTTTATCTTTCTACCATTTAATAATTGATGAATGGCCATACATTTTTTTTTCTAATATTAAGAGAATAGAATTTTCGACTTTAAATCATTTCCTTTAAAAAAATTAATTTTTTAATATTTGATAGAGTTCTAATTCTATATTTTCATATGTTTTTATAATATAAGTTTCAAGAATTTTTTTGTTTCAATTAAAAAAAATATTTTTTTAGTTAATTCTTGCCCTACTTTTAGTTCTCTCTTTTCTTTCTAGTTTTCTAAACCCTAATTTTACTTTGTGGCTGCTACTGTTTATCAGCGGTAGCCCCATATTTTCTATTTTCTAATATTTTTTTGTCTGTTTTTTCTATAATAGATCCGTCATTTTGTTATTGTTGATTGTCTTCGTATTTGAAGTTTTTTTTTGTTCCTTTTTTATGAGGGTTTAGTGCTAAACAAAACTATGATATTTGATTTTATTTAGTTGGATACTTTAGATTTTAATTTGCATGTGTGAATTTTCAATCGATGGAGCCTGGTAGTGGCGACTTGTTTCTCCATTGATGCTATTTACGCATAGCGACGAAAACTCATTTATATTTGTCATATGTTACAAATTATTAGAAAAACAATCTAGTTATAGAAGATTCAGAGAAGTTATTATTTTGATGTCCAAATCATCTAAAGGACTAGTTGCTGCTATGAAAATTTATATCTTTTATTTAGCGACGAAAAGGCTTCATGTCTAGTATTTGGTCATATGTTACAAGATTTATGAGAAACAAACAAGTCTAGTTTATAGAAGATTCAGCAGCAAGTTAGTTATTTTGAGTGTCCAAATCATCTAGGAAGGACTAGTTGCTGCCTCACTGGGAGAAATTTTATATCTTTTGTCAAAATTTAACTCCTAGTTGGAAAGTGTATAGGATATTATGAGTGTTTTAATTTTAGTTTCACTGTGCAAGACAGGATATGAAGTTCCTTTATTTCATTGAAAAGATCAGTTTGGCAACTCTTTAGTTTACTAATTAATAAAGTTCTAGTGGTCTGGTCTATAAACTGTACTTTGTGTAATTCTTGGATATTATTTATTAATGCCAATGTATATTTACAAAAATATAGCTTTTTTTATTTAATTAATATATTTACCGTTGCTGAGTTTTTATCATATTTTAAATGAAACTAGTGTATAGTGATGACTCTACGATCTATAGTTGATTTAGAAGTTGTAGTTTCATTCAAAAGGATATGAATTCCTTTATTTCATTAAAAGATCAGTGAACTCTTTTAGTTACTAATAATAAAGTTCTATGTCTGGTCTATAAACTTATTTGTAATTCTTGATATTATTATTAATGAATTATATTTAAAAAATATATTTTTTTTATTTTTAATTAATTATTTACCGTTGCTAGTTTTTATATATTTTAAATTGAATAGTTATAGTATCTTACATCTATATTAAATTTAGAATTTATTTATAAATTGTGTAAATTTTAACGGATGGTGATAATGATGTCCGTAAATAGTTTAAGTAATAATAATATTAATCTAGAGCTGATTCTCATATAACTCTTTTTTTTCATTCAATTCTCATATAACTCAATTGAAATAATTTTAATAAAATTGAAATGTGAATCATCGTACATGCGTTTTCCTTAAAAAGTTACAGAACTACACTTGAAGCTGGAGCACAAATCTTCTTGGGCCCAGAAATAACTCAGCCCAATTTAGATGTTCATTTTTGGGCTTTTTTGGATAGGGCCAGAGATGATATAAATGAGGATGCTCCAAAGCCAAGAAAGCCCAAGAGGAGAAGAGAGGCAGAGACAAAACCCAAATTGAAGAACTCTTCTAGTTTGGATTTATAATCAGACTGATCAACACCGTCAAGACTTCTTTTAAGATCATAGGTTGCTCCAAATCCCGCTCCAATCGCAGTACCCAGCAGAGATAATATCACCTGTTCAAATTATGAATTTATATATCAATTTCAAATAAAATTTCATCTCATCCATATTAAATCAAATAAACTCTTAAAAGAAATTCTCTCAATCATAAGGCAAACTACCATTGTTATATAATTTGTAATATTATTTCGGCCAATTGAACCTTCTAATAAATAAAAAAAACTCTTTAAAAGAATTTTTAAACTTACTTTATCACCGAAAAGTTCGAAATAAAGCATAGGGCCATAATTTATCAGGTGCTTCCCTGTGATTAAATGGAAGATTGCAATAGGTAATTGACAAAAAACATATGCTATTCCAATCGCTGATGCATATAGCATATACCTACCATACAATACATATGTAAATTTAATTACCAAAGTAATCAAATAATAGAATTCACTGAAATCTATAAACAGATTGAAATTAGGATGGAGAGAGAAGCAAACCTGTACGAGTAAATAAGCCTGTAGCGATATATTAAATTCTTATATGTGAAATTATCGGTTACAAGAACAATAACCGATCCCAAGAACAAAATCAATGCGAGCACTTTGAATGCAAGTGTTGCTATTCGCAGGGTCTTGGAAACCTCAGCTTCAGACATTGTTATGATTTTATAAATGTATATGTTTGAACATATGCAGTAATGCTTGCTGGGTAATCTGGTTGTTCTTATATTAGTGGTTGCATTTTGTATTTATCAATAAAACCAAACAAAAAGACACAAATCAATTTGAAAATATTGAAATGGGGTTTCTTGCTTTGGAGGAGGAAGCTCCAGTTGTTGAGTAGCTAGATAGTTTAATGTACCATGGAATTGCGAAGAAGCCAACCTTTGACAATTACTATGAATATTACTTCGATGTGTTCGATAATGACTGGAAAATAATTTCATATACTCTCACGTCTCACTTATTGGTACGTGTGTAGGAAAAGTATTTTTCTTAATTTTCTGTTATATATGAACACGTGTAAAAATTAAATCCCAAATAATCTTTCTCGATACAGTTCGTAGAAACCCTAATCAATAAAGATAAAGATCTTTTTTTCAAATTGATTTCTTTATTTTATATTTGCATTGTGAAGAAAAAGGAATTTTTTGGATGAATAAAGTGCTCAGTAGGCTGGAATATCATTGCAGGGATTGGATAACATTTACCAAAATGATGATAATCTTTGTAGTGGAGGACCCTTCCATTAGAATAACATTCACCAAATTGGTAATAATTTTTGTGATGGAGAGGATTCAAACTCGAAACCTCTCACTCTACATCTTTTACAAGAGATAAAAAGACCAATCTGACAATACAGATTGGCAGAGAAAAAAAAAACTTATTCCTTTAATGTTTTTTATAATCAATTTATGAAGATAAAATGGTAATTTAATTTTTAATAATAATATGTTTTAAGGTATATATAATATTGTCCACTACTACCTTGGATCGTCCTTAATGTCATGTTTAATCCATGTATTTACGGAGTCTAATCATATTTTTATATAACCGAAATTATTAATGACTCTGCTTTGCAATTTGGCAACAGCAATTCTGATAAGTACATGGAGAAAGAAACAGGATTTGCTTATATTATTATTTTTCTTTGCCGTTACGATCTGTAATTGAAAAATAATTCTAAAAAAGTTAATAATTAATTGATTAATTAGGCTTTGTTGTTAACTTAAGAGGGTGTACTGAATTAGGATTATGTTAGATTTTAAAAGAATTATTGAGTTTGACAAAATTGAAGGATTTCCTAAGATTTGCACAGATTCCACTAGAATTTTAGATAAAGTTTTATGGAATTGGTGGAACTTTTTTCATAGATTTTGATTGACTTTGATGGAATCACAATAATTTTTATATATCCAATCAAAATTAATTTGTTTTATGGAATGGTGGAACTTTTCCATTCAGATTTTGAGTTTGACTTTTGGATTGCGAATCACAATAAGTTAAGTTTTATGGAATTGGTGGAACTTTTTTCATAGATTTTGATTGACTTTGATGGAATCACAATAATTTTTATATATCCAATCAAAATTAATTTTAAGATCTAATTGAACAAATTAAAAGGTATTAGAGCCAAATGAAAAACTGAAAAAATAATAAGGGGCTGAAAAGCAAAATGCATAATCTTCTCCGAAAGCATTATTTTCTTCGTTAAAAACTTATCACTGCCGACTATGAAAGACCTGCAATAGCCAGCGACTGTGGCGGCTATTCCACTCCCGTTAATCACTATATTATACCTGTTTGATAGTGGGTACCCTATCCATTATAGTAAAAAAATGTAAAAAAAATGTATTTAAATAAGTTTGAAATTTGAATAATTAAATATGCATGGATACCCTATCCGTTTAAGAGGTACTTTCAACGAATTTTGGGACAGATACAGATAGTTAATATTTAAACGGCTTCGAATATAGGTACTTAAACATGTTTAGAATGAATACGGATAATAAAATTTTAAACGGCTACCTATACAGGTAGATTAAAATTCGCGGATACCTGCTCCGATTTCGTTCGGTATATTAGATCAAGAGTCTATTAGATTTTAAAAGATTTTGGAAATCTTTGTGTTAGAAGATGGATTTGTGAATAATTCTTTTATTCATACATGAAAATCTAACGAAATCAATAATTTTATAGAATCCTTCCAAATCAACAATTTTTTAAAAACAATTAAATTTGTATAGAGTTTTAAAAAGTCATAATTGAATACCATCAGATTTTTATAGATTTTATAAGAGTTTGAATTGAATACAGTCTTGAATTGAATACATAAAATATTAAATTTGTATAGAGTTTTAAAAAGTCATAATTGAATACCATCAGATTTTTATAGATTTTATAAGAGTTTGAATTGAATACCATAAAATTTAAATAGATTCTAAAAGAATCTATATTAAATACCATTGAAATTTTAAAATCTAACAGACTCTTAATCCAATATATCCTCCGTAATCTTTTTTTAATGAATTCTTTGTTTTTAGTTTCGGCTTTAATAAGCTCCATAACGATTTGCAAAAGAAAATAAATCGTGACAAAATAACAATAAATCATGACAAATGACAATTTTAAATTTTGCACTACTTCAATTAATGGATTGATGAATGAGAAAATACAAGGGCAATCCAATATCTTATTCTTAACTAAATAGAGAATAATCAAATAAAATAGACTACATAGTTTATGATATTATAAATGAAGTGCACCAAAAACCCAAAAATATAGTTAATAATTCATCGATCCAGAGGAGCTTGCAATCTTAAAAATGGTGGATGATGCAAGTATATTATCCAAAGAAACCCTTTCTGGTACTTTTCATTGCGAGAGACGAGAAAACAGAAAGTAAAGCGGTGGTAAGAAATCCAAGAAACAGAAGAGCAGTGGCAATGTAAGCTTTGTCAATGAACTTGAGGTTTTTTTATTTCTCTGCACTAAATCCTGGTAGATTAAGGAGACCCTCGAAGGATGCGTCTACTGTTTTTTTTAACTCAAAGGTGATCATAAAACCAGCTCCTACTCCACTGGCCAGCACAAAGGCAACTATCTGTAAAAGCCAATTACTCAATTAACATACTTTTGAAAACAAGAAACCTAATTAACTCATATTGAGACTTCAGATTTTTGAATTGAACCCTGTTAAAAATATAAATTAATCGATAAAAAGAAAATGCAGCACCTTATCACCATAGAAATCAAAATTTGGTAGGAAGTCACTTTTGAAAAGCCTCTTCCCTTTGTAAGCATAATATACTGCAAATGGTATCTGTATTACTGCGTAGAGACATCCACCACAAGTTGTTGCCAGAACGAACCTGCAATATATATATATATATATATACACACACACACACCACAAATTACAAACCTTAATTAAATTCTGTTTACAAGCTAGATAATTTTCACCATTTATCAGAATTTTTAAAGAAAAATTGTTGTCGCTTATATATAAGTTTAAAAGACTATGATGAGGCAGATACTCGACCATTCTTACCTATAGGTACTGACGTCCTTGAAACTAGTTTTGGTGCCGTCAAGAGAAGTAAATTGGTTGGTGACCAAAACAACAATTGAAGCAACTAAAGCCCCAAGAGTGAGGAGCCTAAGTACCAGGAAAAATGTTGGAGCAGCCATTTGTTCTATAGTTTTTTTTTTTGTTCAGTGTTAAGACTACTTTTCTTATTGGGTACTAATACTCAAGTTCATTTTTTTTCATATATATGAACCAATTCGTAATATTCCAAAATTTTGGCATAATTTGGCATTATTGACTTTGTTTAAGATGTTAACCAATTATTGACCATAAACAAAAGTAATTAACACACACAATGTTCTTGCTGTAATTAAAGACGGCAACAAGATTGTGCACTTGTATAATTAATTTTGAATAATCTTGAATTAAAGACGGTTAAATCTTTATTGTTACGTTAGTATCAAGAAGCATACGTCAAAAAGCATGGAAAATAATTATGTTTTAATTTTTCTTTTGTCTCTATTGAGGAATGGGTCATTTGAAGCATAGAGCTTCATGTCCAAGGCAGAACTAGAGAGGTCTTATGGTTGACCTCAGCTTGTCTTTTTACCACACATTCCTTTGGTTAAACATATGTAAAAATTTTAACTTGTCTTAGCCAAGGCATTAATTTTTGTTTAATCATTTTTCTTTTTTTATATTTATCATCAATTATCATAAACAGGATTTGGTTAGCTTTAGAATGAAGTTAAATTACTTTGATTGACATCTGATTCTACTGTTTGCATCATTCCAGCAGTAAGATTATAATGATCTTCATCAATCAGAATCATACGAAATTTTAAAAAGTAGAAATATATTTACATTACTTTTGCAGTTGCATAATCTTTTTTATTCATGGTTTTAAAACTGGCTGGTATAATCCTACTGATGGAGCGTCTCCCATGTATAAAGAATTCTGAAACATGAATTGCTTTAAAGAAAAGGGGATAATTAATTAATTAATTAAACATGCTCATGATTTACTGTTAGGAAGTAATGAACAAAGCAAAAATTGAAAACATTAGATACAGAAGAAGAACTCTGAAAAGCTCAATATAATTAAAAATCTTGAAAAAGCTTAATTAAACTATCATCTTACACTAATCATTAATTTCAAGCACTGTTGCTGCTTCCCTTAGCTGATCCAGGCATTAATTCTCTTAACATAGCCACAACTTGCAACATGTTAGGCCTCTTGGAGGGAAAATCATCAACACACTGCAATGAAATCTCCAAGTACCTAACCATTTCTTTAACTTCTGCTGCTTCAGCTTCATCAGTTCCTTTAGTGACAGAGAGCAATTCTTGATCTATGACTTCCATTTGTTTCCCTTCTCTTACTTTGAGTTTAACCCACCCTACCAAATTTGTATCACCAAAATCATCTTTATCAGTTGGGCGTTTTCCTGTCAGGAGTTCGAGCAGTACAACTCCGAAAGAATATACATCGCCTTTTGCGGTGCATCTGAAGCTTTGGTAGTACTCAGGAGGTACATAGCCAGGTGTGCCAGCAAGTGTGCTTACACTAAGATGAGTGTCTAATGCACTTATAAGTCTTGCCATTCCAAAATCGGAAACTCTTGCTTCCATTTCATGGTCTAAAAGTACATTGCTTGACTTCATGTCTCTATGTATAATATGTGGTATGCAATTATGATGTAAGAAACAAAGTCCTTTAGCTGCACCTCTGGCAATCTTTTTCCTTTCATCCCATGTTAGAATTCGCCTGTCTCGACTCCTTACTCTTCCATGAAGCATTTCTTCAAGGCTTCCATACTCCATGAATTCATACACAAGAAGTCTTTCCTCACCAATTTTGCAATAACCCAATAAAGGTACAAGATTTCTATGCTTTATCTTCCCTAGTGTTTCCATTTCAGCCATGAATTCGCGATCTCCTTGACAGCTCAATCTTATCAGCTTTTTAATAGCAACACTTGATCCATCCTTCAATGTGGCCTTGAACACTTCACCAAACCCACCACAACCTATAAGACTTTCCGCAGAGAATCCATTCGTAGCTTCAATTAGTTGAGAGAATTTTAGTTTCCTTAGTTGCCTTTGAAAAGTAGCTACATTGATGCTTAAAGGCTCTTTCTCTTTGTCAATCTTCCATGTTGTGGCTGCATGAGACGCTTGCAGGCTATTAAGCATTTTCACTTCCTCTGCTTCCTTATGCCTTACACGCATTGCTACTGCCCATACAATCAGAATACATAGAGAAGCAACTGAAATGAGAATCCCTAAAACAATACTATTAGCCCATGATGCAGCTGAAGTTTTCCTGTCGGTTCTGCTACCATCCACAGTTGGACTAGTTGTTGCTTGACCATTTCCACCATGACATTCAGACAATGGAACTCCACATAATCCAGGATTATGTGAATATTGTGTCGCTGGGAGTGTACTAAGTTGCCCTCTTTGTGGAATTTCTCCTGTTAATTCATTATAAGAAAGATCAATTTGAACCAAGAAAGACAGGTTTGAAAATGAATCAGGAATTTGGCCTTGTAATCTGTTATGTGATGCATCAAACACACCCAAATTCTTTAGCTGACCAAGTGATGCGGGAATTTCTCCTGCTAACTGATTATGAGATAATACAAGAACTTGTAAAGCCATCATATCTCCCATTTCATCTGGAATCTTCCCTCGAAGCTGATTGTAAGAAAGATCAAGGTACTCCAAAGTTTGATATTGTGTAAAAAGGCTAAGGACTGGTCCTGAATACAATCTTGTAAAATCACAAGTCTTCAGTGTTGGTACCTGCAACAATCTTTCAGGTCTAATACCTGCAAATTCCAATAAACCTCCCACACCTTGACAGGAATTCCCAACATTTCTTACAAACACTAAAGTATTTCCAGATGGGATTCCACCTAATGCTTTTGCTCCAAGCTGACGGCCAAGTCGAGGTGGGATTTCTCCTGTAAGTTTATTGCTTCCAAGGTCCAGCCAAACCAAGCTGCTGCAATTTCCAAGCTCTATTGGTATTTCTCCACTCAAGCTGTTATTTGCAAGTTGCAAAACAGCTAATCTTGACAAAAGGCCAAATTCGCTTGGGATTTTGCCTGAGATTTGATTGCTTGTAAGAGATATCCATTCAAGATTGCTGCAACTGAATAACTCAACTGGAATTTCACCAGTAAGGTGATTATTATTCAGAATTAGATCTTTCAGGTTCCTGCAATTCCCTAATTCTGCTGGAATTTTCCCTTCCAACCCATTAAACCAGGCTATGAGCTGCTCAAGATTCTCAAGCTTACCAAGCTCAGGGGGGATTGACCCATTTAGATAATTTATACTAAAATCAAGAGTCTTTAGATTCGAACATTGTGATAATTGGGCAGGAATTTCTCCAATGATTAAATTATCTGGCATTCTTAGCTCCTCAAGAGAAGCTGCACCTGGACATATGTCAGGTGGGATAACACCAGAAAATTTATTTGAACTGAGATCCACAATTCTTAAATTTTTACAATATGAAATGGAAGCAGGAAAGGATCCAGATATCAGATTGTAACTTAACAACAATCTTTCCAATGAACTGAGATTTTGAAGGATAGAATCTGGAAAAAGACCTGAAATATTGTTGTTGGACAAATCAAGAAGCTGTAGCCAAGAACAAGAAGATAAAGAGCCAGGAATGGATCCTGAAATGTTGTTAAAAGAAAGCTTAAGCTCAACAAGTGAACTACAAGCATTTCCTAACTCATTCGGAATCCAACCTGTAAGATGATTATGAGAAAGATCCAGTATTTGTAAATTAGTAAGTTCACCAAAAGATCTTGGAATCTCCCCCGTAAGCATATTGAAAGAAAGATTCAAATTCTTGAGACTTGTGCAGTTTGAGAGAGAAGCAGGAATTGAATTTATTAAATGATTTCCTGATAGATCAAGTTGCAACAAAGAGTTGCAAGAATTTTCAATTTTAAAAGGAATTGAGCCTGTGAAGTTGTTATAAGAAAGATCAAGGGCTTGTAATTTATCGGAATTGGTGAAAAGATCATCAGGTAAAGAACCTGTCAAATTATTATGAGAAAGATTTACAAAAACAAGATTTGGATTCTTGGAAAATAATTTCTCAGGAATCCCACCTACAAGCACAGCAGAAGATAATTCAAGATTTTGCAGTGCAGATGGAAGATTAAGCAAAGAAGTTGAATTTACAATAAATGAATTGAAAGATAATTTCAAAGAAGATAACATATCAAGAGAAGCTAAAGGATCAAAAGATATAATCCCAGCAAGATTTTTCTTAGTAAGATCAAGCTGAGTCACTCTGCCAAGTGAGCAAGAAACTCCATACCAGGCACATGGGCTCCTATTATTAAGTTGCCAACCTGACAGAGCTCCATTTGGGTCTTTCTCTATCATTTTCTTGAACATAAGAAGTCCTGCAGCATCTGTTTTAATGGAGGCACCAACGCCTTGCTCCGCTATGGAAACTGAAGCGAACGCTGCAATAAAGAGTAGAAGATGATGGAAAAGCTGAATTGGGTTGATGATCTCCATTGAAGAAACAAGATTCCAAGAACTCGAGAATTGAGATAGAGAAATAGAAGCCAGAAAAGGTGCAGTGTAGAGAATTGTACAGAGGAAAAGAGTGAGAGAGAAAGAGAGAAAGTGGTGAATATGATGAGAATTTGTTGTTGCAAATATTACTAAGAGAGAAGGAAAACTTTTGCAAAAGGAATTTGCTCCTCTCTCTTTTTTATTTTATTTGTGTTCCATAAATTGAAAAGGGAGGGAACGTGGGGGAGGAATAACAAAAGTGGGATTTTTTATTTCATTTCTGGCCTTTTTTGTGATTGAAATTAGGAAAATGAATTGCCATAAATTTTTTCAATTCTAAGTATTTTATCAGATAAACAGCATTAGTATTTTTTTTTAAAATTATGTATGAAAAACTAATAAATTTCAATTTTTTTATATTTACAGAATGCAATGTGTACCTACATCGATTTTGCAAATAAAATTCATTGAACTGCATTGTTGCTTGCTTAATAAACTTTAAGTTAACAATATGTATTATTCTACAAGATACGATATTTAAATTATTTGTTTTTAGTACTAGAAAGTAGAAACTATATACATAAGAGGGAAGGGAATTTTTGTAAGAGGATTGATTTGATTTTCAGTCAAAAAGCAAAAGGGACCCACATACAAAGTCTATCTTAAGATTGGCTGCTTTTAGAGATGGAGGGAAAAAAAATATTTGGACTGTGATTGATCCGAGAGTCACTGTCTGTCAGCGAAGCGTGAGAGAATGTTTCCTTCGTACTTAGAAGATGCGAAGGAAATAGTGCATGTAGCTGACCTTACATTGCACAATTCAGCTGCCCATCTGCCCCATTATGATTGCTTCTTCCATATATACTAATTTTTCTTTCTTTTCTTTCTTTCAATTAAGATGCTGCAGCTAAGCCTTTTTCTAATATATATATAAAATCTCATTTCAATATTTTTTTTATCAGCAAAATTTAATTTTATTAATAAATAATTTCAGAAAAACTTAAAAAACCTCAAGAAATTAAATCAAAATCATATTTTTCGCCGAAACGCTCAAAACCTAGCCAAAGAATGTTAAGTTAAAAAAACTAAAACACTCCTAACAAAATACTTATAGGATATAGACAGAACTAAATAATTAAGTCTACCAAAAAAATTCAGTATCGTGGTTGCAAGTTAACGGGATAACAAAGTTAAGTGTTTTAATAGGTTATTTTTCCATATTAAATTCTTATTTTTCCTACCATTTTCAAATAAATGTTTTAATTTCCTTTTTAAAGCGTAATTCATTCTTCTTCGTATATATTTCAGCGATAAATTAGAATGCAATATCTTGACTTTTATGTAAATAATTTATCTTCTCACCCGTAGATTGAATAATTTCATTTTCAACCTTTTTCTCTTATCAAATTGTGGGCTCCAATTTGAATCAGTACCTAGTCCCTTTTCTTTTCTTTGAATTCACATTGGATCGTATATTTTAATTAATTTGCATTAAATTTCACAATTTTACAATTCAAAATCATTTCTGATAACAAGGATCGATTTAAAGCACTTAGAACGATGGGAGAGGACCGGTAGATATCAATTCTTTTTGGGACATTACTATAAAATCTCATAAATTTAATGGAAATCACTACTTTGTTCTAACTATTTAGAGTCTCTGACGTTTGCATCCGCATAATTATAACAACTTTTCATTTAAAAATATCTTTTTTTTCATTAAAATACACGTAATATTTGACTAATTAGTCATTCACATTAATATAATGTTACCACATAGTTCTTCATATTTGATATAATGTCATTATTTAATTCCTCGCTTAATGGCAAAAATGATACTTTTTAGAGAGAATGACTAAATAATTTTACGGACTCAAAAATTACATAGGATTTAATTATTTAGTCAAAAACATAATTAATAAACAATTAGCAACAAAAAACAAATTATTTGGTAATGAATTGTCAATCTCATAATATAAAAAATAAAAAATTGATATTACATAGCAATTCGATTCACGTAAATTTGTTTCGAGATAATTAAGCTTAGATTTCATAAATTAAGGGCAACAACTTGTAAAATAAAACTTGCAGCTTATATCCTAACACTAGATAATTGACTCCCATTTTCAAAATTTGCTTTCTGAAGTTTAATTAGTGAAGTGATTAATTAAGAAAGAGAGATAATTAATTGTAATGTGGGACCCACACACCAAAACATGGAAGAAGGGAATCAATGAAAGTTCAAACCAAAAGAGGTGCATCTGTCTATGAATTGTAATATTACCCACTAAAAAATAAAATACAATTGAGGAGAATAATTAATTTATCATTTAAAAAAAAAAAAAAAAAAAAAAATATTACCACTAAAAATAAAATACAATTGAGGAGAATATATTAATTTTTATCATTTAAAAAAAAAAAAAAAAAAAAAAAAAAAAAAAAAGAGTGACTGAGGCCCACAAAAGGAACAACATCAATTAGGAATTGTGGGTAAATGGTATATTTTGGCATGAGAGGTGATGATGCCTCCTCCACTTGGTTCTTGTTTTTTAATTTGCTTTTCTTGATAACCAAGCACAAGCTATATCTATATAGAGCATTGTGCTACCCTTTTATAATAATAATAATGTATTGATTATTTTAAAATAGGAGTGTAAAGTATTTATTTTTTATGTTTTATATTCAATTTATTATTATTCACTTTTTAGTATTTTCATTTACTAGTTATATTTTCACATTCAATGATTATATTGAGAGATATCCAAATATAAACCTAAGAAAGTATTTTTCTTTTATGGGTTCATTGATTCACTGTTCATCCCCCATGACAAAATCTTTACCAATGTTAAAGTTGAACTTTGTAGCTGGTTTTGGGACCATACCCTTTTGCTATATATGTAATATTTATTAGTTCTTGAGGTATCACATGCAGAAAAGCTTGACAATGGATTTAATATCTTGAATTTCCATGTCAATGATCAACATTTCTCATCATCTATCTCATATGTATGTGTATAGTTGGGCCTTTTATGCAAGTCTTCAAGGTTAATATAAAAAAAAAACCTAGTGGTTCATGTCTTGTCTCATGGGGCTTCTTTCGAGTTCATATTTTGAATTATTTAAATAATTATACATGATAAATACAGAAATATATTCAATGTAGGAAAAAAAATTAATTAGGTGGTGTTTATAATATTATTAAGTACTTAAAAATATTTAAATTTTATGTATCTAATTTTCAGTTCTACCATACCAAACACCAATCTATTAAAGCCTTTTAAAAGTTACAAATCATTGGAAAGTATAATCATAAAAGATGAATGAGTATATCTGAAAAATATAGTAAAACTTTATTCAGATTAATTAATCTGGAATAATAAATTAATTAATAGTCAAAATATAACAATATTAACAAATAATAATTTTTCTTTTCATACAAACTGCATGAATCATATAAATTATTACTCAAATAAAATTAATAATGAAACATTAGTTTCTCTGAATCCTAGAAATGAAAATAAAACATTAAACCTCGAGATTAACAAACAAGATTATGAAGTTTAAATAAGGTTTTTATCAATCAATCATAGGTCATTAGATTATCAAAGACATCACTCTTAATTTTAGGGTAGTGGGAGACATTAATTTTCTCTCAATGCACAACATTCCACATAAACATAAACATGATAAATCAATTAATTAAAAAGCCAAAAGTAAAAAAAGAAATCAATCAAAAAATTTTCTTCAACTCCTACTTTTTTTCTTTGCACCACAGCGAGGGTATCAAAATGTAGAGATAGAGACCCTTCTTTATTATCATCATTTAGGATTGCATTTTGACCGTTAAGAAAAAGGTATTTAAATTTTGTTATTATTAGTGCTCATTTTTCATAATTATGATCATGGGACCCATAAGAGAAGGCACAGTATGCCTTTGTGAAAGGATAACTCTTCAAAATATTGTCACAAATGTAAATTAAACTGGATGGAATTTATGTTATTAGAAATTAATTAACCATTTTAATTACTTTGCTTAAGTGCTTTTAACAAATGCACACGCATGCATGGGGTCAATTTAAATTAAGTTGGACCGTCTAATCTTTAGTCATACTTTTTTTGAGAGAATGAATTTAATTAGCTAAGACATTAATTAATTATTATATATAAATATATGTACACACCAAAAGTGCAGTTTGTCAATTTTAGCTAATTAATAAAGATTTATTAAAAAACTAACAATGGATGGTAAGCAGACTTAATCATATAAGAATGAATGTATAAATTTGATTTTTGAAAAAAACATTATTATTAATAAGATTAGAAATATTTACAATATGCGGTTCGAAGGGAATTAAAATCTCTTAATTTTTAAAAAAGGAAAATTATTGAAAAAAAAAATCTTCAAAGAAAAAAAAAGCATGCTGATGGTCCAACGAAGATCCTCTTATTGATATAGTCAAAAAAGCTCCATTACAAATCGTACATGATAGGCTATGTAAGCATGCTTTAGAAGGCATCAAAACTCAATATAGCCTATATGCTATGATATTATTGCATAATTTTCCTTTTTAAACAGTATTATTATTTCCATAAATTTGGATTATTTGCTAAAATTTGGGCGTGACTTTTTATGCAAAACCAAGAAATTAAAAAAAAAAAAAAAAAAAGAAAAGGAGTGAATAGAAGAGAAGAGGCAGAGAAAGAAAGAAAGAAAGAAAAGAGACCGAATTGTCGTCCATTGCACGCCAATTGGGGCCATCTACATATGTATACTATTCCAAATGATTGGTAATGACCTCAGAACACGCATTGTCTTTTGTCTCTCTCTCTCTCTCTCTCTCTCAATTTATGTATAATAAAAATTAATTTTGTATTTATTTTTCTAAAATCAAAATTCATTTCAGAGCATAAAATGTCATTTCAACGTGTTTCTGTTTGTGTTTGTGGGTTTTTACTTGTGGCTTTTCTTGTACAATAATTAATTTCAGATTTTAATTAATTAATTAATTATGTCTTATGTGGACCTTTATTAGTTTACTTTAATTAGTCTTTTAATGTGTTGTGGCTCCACATCATGATTCCAGTATGATTCGATTGGATTGGATTTAGCTTAAATATAAATTAAAGATTGAACATTGTGATTTTCTTTTTCCCCAAAAGTTGACCCAGTAAAGGGCACAATTATTCTCATTCAGCTTGAAAGAAGAAAGTCACTATTTATAGTTTTAGGCCTTTTTTGTTTTTTTTTTGCTAAGCCCAGAAATTTTTATCTTAAAAGGTTTGACTGTACACTGTACAGCTATGGAAGTGGGAAGAGGAGGTGGTGAAGTGAAACCCTCATGATGGCCTTTTCACACGCTTGACCCACTCCTCAAAATAAAGTTAGAGAAAATAATTATTAGTTTTTGCTTTAATGGATTAATGCTTATATTTTAATTATCAATCTTAATTGGCAAAAAAAGTTAAAAAAAAAAAAAGAAGAATTTTTCTTTTTTATTTTATCATTTTTTTTCCCATTTGTTTGCATTATTTTTGTGATATGTATTTCATTTTGCAAATAAACTTTTTATAAAATTGATATACAAATAAATTTGTATATGTACTTAGTATCCTAACTATTAAGTATAAAACTCAATTAATGTAAAATAATCATGTCAAAATTTGTATCCTTACTAATTTAAAATTCATTTACAAATTATATAAATTTGACTTAAATATAATTAACCGATAAAATATAATGGAATTCATTTAACTCTTAAAATAATTTTTTTTTTAAAAATATCTTTAAAAAAACTGAATATCTTCGTGTCAAAGCTCCTGAGGAGATTGACACGCTTTCGAATTCATGTATAGTTGGCAATTAGACTGTGTTTGAAGAGTAATCTTTTGCTGCTTTTATTTCCAATTCTCTGTTTATTTTTGCGTTTGTCATTGTTGGGCTTCATACGTTGGATATGGTCTAGTTAAAGGACCTTACTGGGCCAGATCTTGGTTTCAAGCCCAAGGTTGATCACTGATGATAAGTTATAAAGTTAGAATTATGAGCACAAAAATTGGTAAATAGATTTACCCTTTTTGGAGTGAGGAGTTTTTATTAGATTGTGTACGAGATTTTAGAAATTTCGGCCCATTCTCAAAAAATATTCTGAATTTCTTATTTGAAAAAACCTCGATATTAATTTAATTATGAATTTTGAAAGCAATTTCAGAATAGAAATAATTTAGTATTAACACAAAGTTCCTTCTCATCTTATTTCGTCTTAAAAATCAGGAATAGAGAAAAAATTATGAAATAGAGAAACTAATTTTTTTTTCTTAAATTAATGTGAGAAAGGGATTATTAACTATTAAGATGACCATCAAATTTTAATTTATATCTCAAAGGAATTATTGTTAATTTCTAGGTGTTAGGCAAATTTATTGCCCATGTATAGAACTTAAACATATACTTTCTACACTTGACCTGTTATAACTTGATCTTTCAACTCAATCTAATTTACGATTTGAAGATATAATAAGTTAAATTAGGTAAATTGTCTCGATTTGAATCACGGGTTTATTAAGTAAATATATATATTTTATAGAACTCCACAAATAATAATAAAATAGTATTTCTATATCAACTATATATATATATATATAATATAGTGATGAATCAAAACTTATTATATTAATTTTACTTGTAGCACATTTATCGAGAAGCTAACTCCTGTGCTGATTGGTTAGTTTCTAATAGCGAAACGGTTTCCTTAGGCACTTATATCTTGCTCCATGTTTCCCCTGGTTTGGATGAATGGATACTTATATCAGTTGGCCAAAAAGAAAGAGAATGACAACAGAATTTGTTTTTTTTATCTTTGAATTACGTCAATATCCTAATTATTAAGCATAAAACTCAATTAAAAACTCTAATGTAAAACTCATTTACAAGATATATATATTTGGTTTCAATATAATTAACAAACCACAATACTGAAATAAACTTTCAAATAATATTTTTGGTACATAAAAGGAGCAAAAAGCTCTAGAGAAACTAAATAAAACGACAATAAAAAATACCTGCAGCTAAATCATAACCTAACCAAATAACTAAAGATAGACAAAAGATGGCAACCAATAGGAAGAGAAGACATAAAATGATTTTATTTTTAAACATGAACAAAAGACGTAATATAGCAGAGTAGCCAATTATTAATGCTCTTTAAGAAAGCTTAATATCTTCGTCCCAAAACTCCTCAAGAGATTTGTAAGGACCTTCATTAGAGATAAATTCAAGACCAGGATATCCTTTGCGCTGTGGAAGTGTATCGATCATTTGTAATTCCTCTTGGCTTAATTTCCAGTCAAAAATATCAAGATTTTCTTTCATTCTCTCCTTGTTGAAGCTCTTCACTATTACACTTACCCCTTGCTCATATACCCATCTCAGACACACCTTCAAATTCATATATAAGTAGAAAATACCTTTAAAATACAATAAAAAAAATTGAAAGGAGTAGAGAGAGGTTTGAAGTTGATCTACCTGAGCAACAGTTTTTCCTTTTGCCTGAGCAATCTCTTTTAGCAACTTACAGTCCATGACTAGGTTTGTACCCCAGGGGGTTCCTCTGGCTCCCAAAGGAGAGTATGCACTTACATGTATACTCTTTTTCTCACAGAAATCTCTAAGCTTCTTTTGCTGCCAAAGTGGGCTCATCTCCACCTTCATCGCCAACATAAGCCAAAATATTTCAGTTTACCAGTAAATTTGAACTTAATATGGCTAATTAACGACTCACTTGATTTACGGCAGGAGGGATCTTTGCTGTGCGCAACAGAATCTCAAGTTTCTTGCATGAAAAATTGCTCACTCCAATAGATTTTGCCAAGCCGAGCTTTTGACAATCTTCCATAGCTTCCCATACAGACTTGATATCTATTGGAAGAAGATCTTTTTTCTTCACCGGCAGCTCATATTCACCTGGCTTCAAACTCACTGGAAAGTGTATCAAGTACAAATCAATGTACTTCAATTTAAGATTCCTGCACAAATTTAAACAAGTATATATATGTAAATATTTGTATCTAATACTAATTAACAAATTTCCATGCATTTTTAATTTTGTAAACAAAAATTAAAAGAGTTAGCTAATTAGAAACTTAAACAACAAAATTTATAAACATGTGAACTAATTAACAAATTTCCAATGCAATTCTTGTAATTTTGTAAACAAAACCTTAAAAGAGTTAGCTAATTTAGAACTTAAACAAACAAATTTTATAAACATGTGAAGGCTTTTTTTTTATTATATGAAACACTATTACAGAAGTATTTAATTTATAGACTCTAAAAACAGAAAACTTCAAAAAAATAAGCAAACTTATTATGCATATCTGATATGATAAGCATATTAAATTATTCCTTAAAAATAGCAATAGAATAACAAATAATTATCTAATCTTCCAACGGCCTTCACCATAGCTACTAAGTCAACATTCAACAAAATCTCCTCCTTGGCTTAGGAGCAGCAAACTCCAAGTCTTTCTCTTAAATATTCAAATCTAGCCTTGGAGAGAGATTTGGTCAAAATATCAGCATTCTGAAATTCTGAATTGTAGTGCACCAAACTTACTTCACCATTCTTTTGAACTTCCCTAAGGAAATACAATTTAATCTTGAAGTGCTTAGTTTTTCCATGAAATACTGGATTATTTGCAATTGAGATTGCAACCTGGTTGTAGACATAAACCTTTGTACTTCCTTTTTCTTCCATAGACAAGTCAGCTAACAATTTCCTTATCCACAAAGCTTGATTAACTGCTAAAGTGGCTGCAACATACTCTGCTTCAGCTGTGGATTGAGCTATCACATCTTGCTTTTTGGAACACCAGGAAAATACACCAGAACCAAAATTGAAACAGTAACCGGAAGTGCTCTTCATATCATCTAAGCAACCGGCCCAATCACTATCGAAAAAACCATGAAAATTAAAATTCTGAACTTCACTGAACTTAATACCATGGTTTATTGTGCCTTTAATATATCTAATTATACGTTTTGCTGCTTGAAAATAAATCTCACTAGCACAATGCATGTATCTTGACAGCAAACTTACAGCATGCATGATATCAGGTCACGTTGCAGTTAGATACATTAGGCAACCTATTAAACTCTTGTACAGCACCTCATCTACCTTTTTGGCTACATCTTCTTTGCAAAATTTCTCCTTCAGATTCATTGGAGTTGTGGTTGACTTGCAATTCTCCATCTTGATTTTTTTTAGAATCTCCTTGGCATATTTTTGTTGACAAATAAAAACTTCATTTTCTTTTTGATGCACTTCAATTCCAAGAAAAAAAGACATTTCTCCAAGGTCTGTCATTTCAAACACCTCCATCATCTCTGCCTTGAATTGATTTATCATTCTTCCATTGCTACCTGTTATTAATAGATCATCAACACCATCATCTCTGCCTTAACTTGAAATTTATCATTCTTTTTCCATTGTACCCTGTTATTAATAGACTCATCAACATACAAAGATTGCTACCTGTTATTAATAGATCATCAACAAACAAAGATATTATGAGTATATCTGTTTCTGTTTTCTTAACATAGAGAGTGAATTCACTCAAGCTTTTCTCAAAGCCTAAGCTTAGAAGATGAGAATCAATTCGGCTGTACCAAGCCCTAGGGGCTTGCTTCAAACCATATAAGGCTTTTTCCAAATGATATACTTTATCTTCATGTCCTTTAACCAGAAAACCTTCGGGCTACTCTATAAAAATTTCTTCTTCCAAGTAAACGTTTAAAAAAGCCGACTTTACATCAAGTTGATGAACCTTCCATCCTTTTTGTGCAACTATAGCTAATAGCATTCTGATTGTATCAAGACGAGCCACAGGAGCAAAAGTTTTAGAAAAATCAACTCCGCACATTTGAGCATAACCTTTGACCACCAGTCTTGCTTTATGTTTATTAATAGATCCATCAGAATTCAGCTTTGTCCGATAAACCCATTTTACTCCAATGGCCTTCTTGTGTGTTGGTCTATCCACAAGCTCCCATGTATCATTTTTCTCAATCATTCTCAGCTCCTCCTCCATTGTTGAAACCCATTTCTCATCTAAAACAGCATCTGCAAATTTTTCTGGCTCCATGATAGCCACATTGCATCTGTGATAAATGTCTTCAAGTGATCTTGTGCCCCTTATTGGTTCATCATCAAAGGCATCATCAAAAAATTCTAAGGCATCACCATTTTCTTCTTCAAGTGATCTTGTGCCCCTTATTGGTTCATCATCAAAGGCATCATCAAAAAATTCTAAGGCATCACCATTTTCTTCAACTGTTTTTGGAATTTTGTTATTTTTAGCATCATTCCAACTCCATTTTTCATCTTCCAGCATCTCTGCTGGTTATGACTTTATCCACTTGAGGTAGATAAACTCTGTAAGCTTTTGACGTGTTGCTATAGCCTACAAAGATTCCTGCTTCAGCCTTTCTATCAAGCTTATCCCTTTTCACCTGAGGCACATAAGAAAAACACAGGCATCCAAATATTTTTAAGTTTAACAGAAATGGTTGATGACCAAACCAAGCCTCGAAAGGAGTTTTATTCTTCAAAGCTTTAGTAGAAAGCCTATTCAGTAAAAAAACTGCAGCACTTGCAGCCTCTACCCAGAATTTCTTCGGCAAATCCATTTCATGTAGCAGACATCTTGTCATCTCCATTACCACTCTATTCTTTCTTTCACTTACTCCATTCTGCTGTGGAGTGTATGGTGCCATCAATTGGTGTTCAATTCCTGTGTCTTTACAAAATCTGTTGAATTTATCAGAAGTGTATTCCGTGCCATTATCAAATCGTATGACATGTAACTCACATCCACTTTGATTTTCAACCCATGTTTTGAACTCCCAAAAAATACCAGCAACCTCAGTTTTGGATTTAAGAAAATATATCCAACAGAATCATCAATGAATATAATATAATACTTACTACCATTCAAGGATGATACTTTCAGCGGGCCTCCAACATCTGTATGTACAAGTTCTAGCTTATGAGTTGCTCTCCATTCTGTTCTTTTTGGAAAAGGCAATCTGGTCTGCTTTCCATATTGACAGGCTGCACACATCGGCAAATCTTTCTCCAGGTCTGGTAAGCCTTTCACCATTTGATTTTTCTTCATAAATAGCACTGCATTATGATGAAAGTGCCCTAATCGTTTATGCCAAAGCATGGTGTTGCTGTCTCTTTGTGCAACAAAAGTTTGTTCTTGTTCCATCTTGTTCCAATATGTCAAGAACAAAACTTTTGCCTTTCATCTTGATTCTAAACACCTCTTTTCCTTCAGGATCGATGATTATACAACCTTTTTTTTTAAAGAGCACTTCATAATTTTTTTCTAGCAGCTGCCCAACACTTAACAAGTTCCGATCAATATCAGGAACAAATAAAACTTTAGAAATAAGTTTCTGACCTGATAGGCTATCTATGGACACAATTCCTTTGCCTCTTGTAGCAATACGTTCACCATTTCCAATTCTGACTTTGGTGATGACAGTTGTGTCAAGCTCTTTAAATAATTCCCGATCATAGGTCATGTGGTTCGTGCAACCGCTGTCTATAAGCCATCCTTCAGAGTTGTCTGTAGTAACATATGACGCCATAAATAAGTGCTCCCCCTGGTTTTCATCAACAACAGCCTTAGCCTCAACCTCTTCTTGCTGCTGTCCTTTGCATACTTTTTCGATGTGTCCCAACTGACCACATTTATGGCATTTAATATCTGGTCTCCACCAACACCTTTTTCAAAGAAGTCTATCATGTAATCAAAAAAGTTATTGAGAAGTCGATGTCTTACTCCATGATTTTTAGGGAACAAAAGAACAATAGCCTGACACAAAGGGTTCGGTCCAATTTAGCTGTCTTTTTAGACGCCGAACATAATTCATCATTGAATTAAGGCCTTGATAGGGTGAATACCCAGTTTATTCAATGCTAGGCATAATGAGTATAAGGACCTCAAACAATTCTCTTTTCGTCCTATCCTATGAACTTTAAGGTGTATCTGGTCTCCACCAACACCTTTGTTGAGGATGATTTGTTTTCTTACAATGCGGACATGGTGGATAATTTTTGGCCTTTCTTGTCCTCTGTGTCAATTTCCCTTCTTTAATTCGTGAACTTGCTTGATAAGCACCTTCTACAGAAACTTCATTCCTCATAAGCTTCCATCCTTGTGTTTCAAAATCCACGAAAATTAAATTCCATGATTGCCATATTATCTAACTTTTTTCATTTCCTTTTATAAACTCCTTTTCAAGATATTTCTCTATAATCGCGGCTACGCTGATTTTCTTTTGCATAAATTCTGCTGAGAATCGAAGGGTGAAAACAGGCAGAAAACACAATTCAAACAAACAATTCATGGCTTTAGCTTTTCTTGTCACCTTCTCTTTGTGACTTTTGATCTGAATCATTGTTGGGTTATCTCCAAGTGGTGGAACTTCATAATCTTCTTCCACAGCCTCCCACAGATCATAAGCTTTGAGATGAGTTTCCATCCTAATAGCCCAAACTTTGTATTTAACTCCATCAAATATTGGAGGAGTAATTGAACCATAACTAGACTCTCCCTCCATCTCACGGGTTGGTGTTTGGGTTTGATTTTGGTTCACTCAATTTCACAGGTCCTATAAGATATTGGCTCTGATACCACAATGTTAGATATGTGTCTCAGAAACTAACACAATGTTAGATAGTGTCCTCAGAAACTAAGAGTAATTCAAAAAGTCTTTAAACAACAAAATTTATAAACATGTGAAGGCTTTTTTTTAATATTATTGAAACACTATTACAGAAGTATTTATAGACTCTAAAAACAGAAAAACTTCAAGAAAAATAAGCCAAACTTAGAAAACTTCAGAAAAATAAGCAAACTTATTATGCATATCTGATATGATAAGCATATTAAATTATTCCTTAAAAATAGCAACAGAATAACAAATAATTATCTAATCTTCCAACGGCCTTCACCATAGCTACTAAGTCAACATTCAACAACCTAAGAGTATTTTCTAGAGCAGGAAGGACACGATGATAATGAGCATCACTGCACCAAAGCTTGGAAGTGATAAAGAATTCGTCTCGGGATTTTACAATTCCAAGCTGTAGAGATTCTGATATTGCTTCACCTAAAGGTTGTTCAGATCGGTAAAGAGAAGCAGAATCAAAGTGTCTATAACCTAATTTTATTGCATGGAGAATCGAGTCTTTCATGGTTTCAATGGAAGCAGAGAAAGGATATTCAGCTGTTCCTAAACCTACAAGAGGGATTGGATAATTACTTGATAATGTTTTCTCTGGAATTTTAATACTCTCCATTTTTTCTTTAGTTTAGCATCATCTCCAAGTGTTCCTACATATAACAACTCAATAATATCTTCCAAGGGAAGGACTTACGTCAACAATAGATATGCCCACGACATGTCATGGAGAGCCATACTTTTGCTGAGCGTTACTCAAATGAAAGCCCATACAAGTTCCCTCTTTGAGCTCCGGGATGGAGAATTTTAATACTGATGATTTTAGAACAATAAAATAATTTGAAGCGTAAAATTCATTTATAAACGATGTGGTCTTCCTCGCTTCTGCGGATATTTTTATATTTTTATTTGAGTTGTAATATATATATATATATATATATATAAAGAGAAAGAGAATGAGGAGAAAAAAGAAAGAGAAAAATAAAAGAGTTTCATGCATCTCATCTTTAAATCATGTGAAATTTATTTTATTTGTTGCAAATAAACATTTAATAAAATTGATTTACAAATGAATTTGTATATTTAGTATCCTAAATATTAAACTTAAACTTATTTAAGAAGTTAATTAATTTACAGTTGTATCAAATTTGTATTCTTACTAATTTAAAATTCATTTATAAATTATTCAAATTTCATATAAATATAATTAACCTATCATAAATAATGAGAAAATTTGAAATAAAATTTCATTCATGACTTCCAAACATATTCAGTAAAATAAAATGAAATTCATTCATACATAACCCTCAACAGTAATAAATATTAAAACATAAACAGGAGATATAAATAAATTTAAGAAAATTGAATATCTTCATCCCAAAGCTCCTCAAAAGATTTGTATGGACCTTCATCGGAAATGAATTCAATACCAGGAAATCCTTTACGTTGTGGAAGTGCATCGATCATCTCTAATTCTTCTTGGCTTAATTGCCAGTCAAAAATGTCAAGGTTTTCTTTCATTCTCTCCTTGTTGAAGCTCTTCACTAATACAACTACCCCTTGCTCATATGCCCATCTTAGACACACCTTCAAATTCATAAAAAGTAGACAAAAACTTTGTTACATTATGTTTCTAATTAGGGGTGTGAAAATGGACGGTCTGATTCAAAATCGAAATTAGTTTCTTTTTTGTTAATCGAATCGCATCGAAATAAGTTCGAAAATCAAATTGAACTTATTGGTTGAAATCAATTTAGTCATATTGTTTGATTTTACTCAAAAATGACTGTTTTATAATAATCGGTGTAAAGACCGAATTTTTTGTAATATAACAAATTAAAAATTGAAATCAAAAAACCAAAAATAATTCTGTTTTTTTTTTCCTCCAAAGTTTGCTCACCGAATTTTCAATTCTCTTGTTGTTTTTGCATTTGTCATTGTTGGCCTTTATACATTGAATATGGTCAAGTTGAAAGGACCTTATTATGCCATATATTGCGTTTCAAGCCCAAGTTGATCACTGATCAGTGATGAAGTTTACAATTATGAGCATAAAATTAACTGTAAAATATAACCCATCCTTAAGTATATTCAAATTAACACTTAAATCTCTTTATTTTTGAAAAATAATTATAACATTTCTAATTTATATATTCGTCTTATAATTGGGTCCTTCAATCTAAAAAGTGAACTCTATACAGTTAATTAGACACACTTTTTAGTCGGATTATGGGTAGTCTTTACATGGAAATAGTTCACTTTTTGAATGGAAGAATCTGGCTATGAGATAAATCATAAATCAAAAACATCATAATTATTTCTCAAATATAAAGGGACTTAAATGTTAGTTTAAATATAATTTAGAAACCTAATTATATTTTATCCCAAAATTAATATACCTGGGCAAGAGTTTTTCCTTTTGCCTTCGCAATCTCTTGTAGCAACTCACAGTCCATGACTAAGTTTGTACCCCATAAGGTTCCTTTGGCTCCCAAAGGAGAGTATACGCTTACTGGTATACCCTTTTTCTCGCAGAAATCTCTGAGCTTCTTTTGCTGCCAAAGTGGATTCATCTCCACCTTCATCATCACCAAAAAACCCATTTAGTATCATCATTTTTATTGTCAAATAAAGAATAAAAATCTTTTTTTTTTCAACTACTGGTATCCGAACTCTATTATTAGGGATCGCCTAATCTGGTTCGAGGTTTAGTTACAGTCAAGGCTTCTCGCCCCTCTCTGCAGGTGCAATTAGTAGGAATCGAACTTGAGAGCTCTTCCCACATGTCCAGCCAACAGAACCACAATCCGTAGGTAAAACACAAATCATTTTAGATTGCCAATAAACTTTAACTTAATAGATTGTATCTTACGATCTCTCCGTTCACAAATAAGTGTCATATTTGCGAAAATATTGTGTCTACAAATAAACATCACATCTGTGGATTTAGAAATACTAAATTTTATTCCGTGTTTATCTTTTACAAATTACGAATATTAATTATTATAATTTCCAAAAATCTTTCTCTCTTTATTGTAAATAAGGGTAATATAACTTTTTTATGAGATGAGAAAAGTGGAAATGTAACAGTTATTTATAAACGGAGGGAGTACAAGATGACTTCCAGCAACAAAGAAGGATTTAAGATCAAAATTTTAACAAAAACTGTAAAAAGATTTATATTTTACAATAAAGGCATAAAACTCTCTCATTAAACCAACAAATTTTTGATTATCAATTAAAAAAATTATCAAAGTATTTTTTACAGCATTTATTGGGAAGAGATGGATGGACTTATCCACTGTCTAAGTTTATGTAAAAGGTGACACGGATCTACCACATGAGTTGTAAATGATCATATACACCCTATTTTGTTACATTAATTGTAAATGACTATATATATCCTACCTACATTATAATTATCATTTTATTATTATACTCACTAAGTCCTACAAATATAAAATCCCAATTTTTTTCACACACTTTAAAAATCATTACTTAAATTACTTTAATTAATTATAATTTCAGAATTAATTCTTTTAATTATATTATTATACACACGGACTATTATATAAGAGTATTTCGAAAATATAAAAGTGACTATTATTTTGAAATATCCATAAAAGAATAGTAAATATAACTTGAGACGGATGAAGTAATTATTTTATTTATTGATATAGCTAATTATTACTATTGGGTAGTCCATATCAGGTGATGAACTAAATTACTTTCAAAGAGTTGAGAAAGTCAAGTGACTCTTTACTTATGTTAGAATGTAACCGTAAATTTTAAATATTAGAATGATGTCCGAAAACTCTCGCAAATTAAGTTGAAAAAAAAATAATAAAATTAGCTAATTGACGAACTCACCTGATTAACAGCAGGAGGAATCTTTGCTGTGCCCAACAGAATCTCAAGTTTCTTGCAAGAAAAATTGCTTACTCCAATGGATTTTGCCAAGCCAAGCTTTTGACACTCTTCCATAGCTTCCCATACAGACTTAAAATCCATTGGAAGAAGATCCTTTTTCTTCACTGGTAGCTCATATTCACCTGGCTTCAAGCTCACTGGCCAGTGTATCAAGTACAAATCAATGTACTCCAATTTAAGGTTCCTGCATAAGTTTAATAAATATTAAATACTACTTATCGGATTTCAAATTTACAAGGTATAATAATATATTAATGACCAAAAAAGAATTAAAATTTATATTATGTAGTATTTACCTGAGAGTATTTTGTAGAGCAGGCAGAACACGATTATAATGAGCATCACAGCACCAAAGCTTAGAAGTGATAAAGAACTCGTCTCGAGATTTTACAATTCCAAGCTGTAGAGATTCTGATATTGCTTCACCTAAAGGTTGCTCAGTTTGGTAAAGAGCAGCAGAATCGAAGTGTCTATAACCTAATTTTATTGCATGGAGAATTGAGTCTTTCATGGTTTCAGTGGAAGCACCAAAAGGGTATTCAGCTGTTCCAAAACCTACAAGAGGAATTGGATTATTACTCGACAGTATTTTCTCTGGAATTTTAATGCTCTGCATTCTTTCTTTACTGTAATTATCCCCAAGTGTTGTTATATTTTTTTCTTGACTCTCAACACAGGCAGACTCTGTCTTTCCTTTGCCCTACGTACTCTGCCTTTGTGGAAGATTTCTGGCACTACTTATATCCTGTACGTTCTGTGACTAATATCAAAAGTTATATATATTTATTATTTCTGCTCCCAATAATGGTCAAACTTTGCGTTCCCATCACTCTTATTGTAATATAATTAATCATCACCTAAGATCCCACTAGATTTGCTGTTGTATTTTAAATGGTCCCTCGAGTTTTGAAGCCGCCCACAGAAACAATTGGCCATTTTCCGAAGATGGTGTTTGAAATTAAAATAATGGCGTCCGAAAAAAATATCTGCGTTTTGTTGACATTTCAACGAGTATTCAATTTACTCAAAAATCAACTGTATAGCCAAATCACTCCAAAACTTGGCAAAAAACGCTCCCAATTTACTCATTTGTTAGGATTGAGATATGCGCGTGTTGGCGTGCCGTGAACCAAAATCTAAAAGAATAAAAACGAAAACATATAACAGTAACAAAAACATATACAATCTTCAATAAACAAGCCTTACCTGGAAATTCAATTTGAATTCATGCATTTCATCTGCAGATTTTTTACACATAAATGGCAGGTTAGCACCTAAATAAGACATGGTAAAACGAAAAAAAAGACCTTGTACTGCTATGCTGTTAGACACCATCCTATAAAAAAATTATTGTGGTCAAGTAAATGTTAAGTATTGTCCACTATAATTTTTTTTGCAAAAATTATACCAGTTCTGTATCAAAAGGCACAAACCCTGTTGAAATGTTTGTCACTAAAAGATTTATTTCATAATTTCTGTTACTGTAACTTAGCAGATGAACCATATTTTTCACCTGGACCTTTTCGAGATGCTCCAATTTCACCTTAGAACGACTTTTTATTATTGGACACTCTAAATTGCACATTTTGTTTTAATTTTGCACAAATTTCATTAATTGTGAAATCCGACTCTACCACATGGATTAATTTAATCCACCATAATAAATTAAAATAATCAAAACACATTTTTTTTTATCAAATCCTAAAATAATTGACATTCTCGCATATTCTTTGTTGAATGTAATTCAAAGATTATTGGACAAAAAAATGACTATGCAGGAATATTTGTCCTCGTAAAAGACAAAGCAACACGAAAGTTGATAGCTTGTGTTTGTAGAATTCTTTTCGGAGTTTTTTAGAGAAAGAGAACAAAGTGGAGAGTAGAATTAATGAGTAGAGAGTCCTTTCTACGTCTCTTAGTGTCTTTATATAAGCTATCATTTTCTAACAATTTTAGATTTAGAGGAGATACTGGAGAAAATCTCACGGCCATCACTTATTCATTATATTTATTCGAAGGAGATTGTGTCAGATAAATAGAAGATATTAATGAAAATTTTGAGATATTTTAGGATTTTTAGATATTTATTAAAGATGGCGTATTTTTGAATGGTGGATGTTCTATAAACATAATACCAAAATGTGATTAGAAATTTATTCAACTTGCATGGATTTGATAATATCAGTCAGCACACTGGTATCTATCTGAAAAATTATGGTTCAGAATCATGCACTTCAGAACCCTGGAAATCAACGATGAGGTAGTGGAAACTCAAGCCCAGTGCAACTGCTTCATCAATGATTACCCAAGCCCACGATAATCGTTGGGAAAAATAAAATGAGAGTTTTATTATTTTAGAATAAAAAATTTATCAATTTAAAAAAAAATCGCTGCATCGCCCACAAAGTTTATCAATTTTTTATACCATGTAAAAAAAATTCGGTGTTATTAAACTCGGCCGGCCATTGACCTGGATAAAAAACTGAATGGATGAATTACAACCTATAGATTAATGATTCAATTAGTGGATGGTAAAAATATTAATAATATATATTATTATTATTTTAAAGAGAATAATATATTTTAATTAAGTAATTATAATTTAAAATTATTGTAATATAATAAAAAAAATTAAACTTCTCGAAAAAATCAGGATTTATGCGGTTGCGCGATTCAACTCAACTACTGGTCGATTAGTTCAATTCGATTCTCTTTTTTAAATGATTAAAAGCAAAATCAACTTGATTTTGACGCTAGTTATCCGGTCAACCCATCGGTGGAGCCAGTTTATATGTATATTTAAAAAATTCATTTTTTTATTTCAATTTGCTGCTCCGGTTTTCATACACTCAAAATTAGGGATGAGCATTTTTGTTAATCCGAACCAATCCAAATCGAATAATTTAATCTAAATTTCATAAATCTATTATTCAATCCAAACCACATTTAAAATAAAATAAAAAATAATCGAATCCAATGATATGCGGTTTTATAAAAAAAATCGCAACCGTCCGGATAACTGGATTGGTATTTTCAATCGGTTAATCCAAATCCAAAATTTTTCAATATATGTGTTTCTATTTCCAGATTTGCAATTTATACTCTTAAAGCAATTATTTACACAAACTTATAAATTTATAGACAATTGTATAGAATAAAAATAAATAAATAAATAATAAAATTGATTAATTAATCTAACAAGTCACAAGTGTCCAAACACAAATTACAAAATTATAAAGATAGTTATATCTAAATCCAACTATCCAAATAACAATAATATAATTAATATTAAAAGAAGCATTCATTAAACTTTATTCATTTAATGTTAATTATATTAATTGTTATTTAAACTTTAAAATTATAATTAGTATTCAGTTAAGCATGGTTTTCTTTATCGATGGTATTAAAAGTCATATCATATTATTGTCAGCCGTCACAAAAGCTATACAAATATAATTTGAGTTCTTTGTTTCATTTTAATGTAAGGTAAAAGTCAACATTTTGACAAAAAAAAATCTAAAATAAAAAACATATATATCTTAAATACGAATTTAGTTAATTTGGATTAACCTAACCGAAATTTTTTCATACTAACTATACTATAACTGAAAAACTAAATTAATATTTATAACTAACCAATCAAAACTTATCTGATGACAACCGAACCAAACTAAAATTACTCTGTTGGATTTGGATTGTCAGTTACCTCCGCAAATCGCTTACCCTAAACGTTGACGTGTCACTTTCAGACCTGTTTGTGTTTGGTATTTATATTAAATGTTAGACGTTTCATGCAAAATCTTATCTTTCTTGCTCCATTTAGGAAAATTGGCCAAGTAGCAGAGAATGGATAGAATTCCGGAGGCAAGCATAGGCTCAAGTGGCCAAAAAATTCCAATTATAGGTTTTGGAACAGCTGATTTTCCATTTGGGGATTATGAAGCAGTGAAACAATCTGTTGTTAATGCAATTGAAGTTGGCTACAGACACTTTGATACTGCTGCTGTTTACCAGTCCGAGAAGCCTCTCGGCGACGCTATAGCTGAAGCTCTGCAACGCGACCTAATCAAATCACGGGATGACCTCTTTATCACTTCTAAGCTCTTCTCCAGTAACGCTCACTCTCATCTCGTTCTTCCGGCTCTGCGAGAGACTCTCCGGTTAGCACTCTACAATTCATGGTTTTTTTACTAATTGTGCGAATTGAAAGATTCTTTTTTTGGTGATTGTCGTTTTAATGGATGCAGGAATCTTGGAATGGAGTACCTTGATTTGTTTCTAATTCACTTTCCAGTGAGTTTGAAACCAGAAACCCAATTCCCGTTGAAGCCAGATGATGTTGTTTTAATGGATTTTGAGTCTGTTTGGAAGGCTATGGAAGAATGCCAAAATCTTGGCCTCACAAAAGCAATAGGAGTCAGCAATTTTACTTGCAAAAAGATTGACAAATTACTTGCCACTGCAACAATCCCTCCGGCAGTCAATCAAGTAAGGTCATTTTCTTTTTCTTTATTTTCTTTTTCTTTATTCGTTTGGAAGTCTAAAAACCGAAATAATAACTCTTCCCTTATTTAAAAACACTTGTTGATCTTTTCTTAGTTAAAACATTTGTAATTGAAGAAAACATTTGTAATTGAGAAGAGTGGAACCTGAAACCTCCATCTCATTTAATAAATGAGACGACCACCAAACCTGATTACCGAATCGCTATAAAGTCATTTTCTTTGATCTTGGGCTTGCGTTAATATTTAATTTTCCTTCTTTGGATTATGAATCACGACAACCCTCTTCCCTCTTCGACAAAATAGTAGATAGCTGATTGTGGGGTGGAATTTAGGTTATGCATGGCTAAAATAATGGCCAATATAACGAAATCCAAGAGGAAATGGACGTCCATTACGAAATTTCTATACACATATATAAAGAGACAAAACTTCTTTTTATTCAGTCTAGTCATGTCTAATGTATCCATATCATAGTGGTTGATTTTTTCAAGTAATTAATTATTTAGTCCTTAATAGTTTTTGTTAAATTGCTATCACATCCCTATTATTTTCAAAATCACTCATTCATTCTTCAGACTTAATCCCCTTAAAATATTTAACCCTTCCGTCTAGAGTATTATTTTTACCATAAATAAGAATCTAAATAAATTATAAAATTATATTAAATGTGAATCACAAAATAGTCAAATATTATAGGATATTTTAACCCAAAAAAAAAAAAATTTATCAGATGTATTGACCGAGTAGTTTAAAGATAGTAAGCAGCCCTCAAAGACTATCAATAATTTTGCCAAATAATAAGAATGTAATATGCATTGACTAAATAATTAATACCCTCTTCAAAAAAAAAAAAAAATTACCCTTTTTATTCATTTCCTCATGAAATAGCACTTGTAGACTTTATAATTGTTATACTTTAGTTTAAAATAGCCGATCAAGATTGTTAGTCTTCCTATATTTTGTAGAAAATGTGGAGAGTGAGAGTTCAAGTTTAACTCATCTTGACCATAAAGGTTATCATCAATTATATTTTTTTACTCATTTGTTTATGCAATTGACGAAAAGAGAGAGAAAATTGTTCTATGAAAAGTAACAAAAAGAGCAAGTAAACGAGAGAGAATAAGCATTGTTGCTGGGGTTAAAAACTGATTTTATATCTAGCATATCATCTACATTAACTTCCTGATAAAATTTATTTGAAAATTAGTAGAATATTGCATAAATTAATATTGGATAATTTTTATGTTGTAAATTGATGTTTGTATTTAATGTTAACTTAAGAGATGATGGGTTAAAATTTAACTTATTCATATTTAATGATTTTCCTCTAAATTACCTATTAATAATTTACATTCTTTAGACTAGAGTGTAGCTCAATTGAGGACCTAGCTAGAATAAAATAGTTTTTCCTGGTCAGTGTAACCATAATACATCTGACAAGGACCTAGTTAGGAAAACAATTAATTTTGAATTATGTTATATAGTAAGAACAATAGTTTTAATTAATGTGTATACGTGTGTTTTACTTCCTAATATACCTTGTTATGTTTTGAGAAGGTGGAGATGAACCCTTATTGGCAACAGAAGGAGCTCAGGAAATTATGTAAAGAAAAAGGTATCCTTATAACAGCCTATTCTGCATTGGGAAGCAAAGGGACTCCTTGGCAAGGTAAGCATAGACCTATAGAATGTGATGTCATGAAACAGATTGCCACTGCTAGAGGAAAATCAGTTGCTCAGGTAATTTACATTTACATATAACCTATATATGTAGCTAGTATGAAAGAGATATATGAGCTCTAATTGGGTGCATGCATGATCAGGTGTGTTTGAGATGGGTATATGAGCAAGGTGTTAGCGTTGTAGTAAAAAGCTTTAACAAGGAAAGAATGGAAGAGAACTTGATGATATTTGATTGGGAGCTCAGTGAAGAAGAGCTGCACGAGATTGATCAAATTCCACAGAACAGAGGTACTCTTGCTGAGCAATTTGTCTCAAATGAAGGCCCGTACAAGTCGCTCTTTGAGCTCTGGGATGGAGAAATATAACACTAATAATTTTTCCTTTTCAATAAACCCCTCTTATTTAATTAATATAAAGGAATTTGATGTATAAAATACATTTATAAATGATAGGATTTGGTTTGAGGTTCGGAGGCGGAAAGCCTGCTATTATACTGTGAATTTGTGGACTTTCATGCTTCTTGATATTTAGGCACAAGTAATTTATAGCGTCACATCTTCTAGATAAGTGAAATTTGATAACAATTAAAATGCATATGGTTTTATATACAATTTGTATTGTTTTAGTTGTGTTTTGAATTACTTTAATTAATAAATTAGTTCCAGTATAAATAAATTCTTTTGTTTTTTATTTTATCATGAGCTGAATGAAATAAAAAGAAATACACTTTATTTAATAAATTGACGTAAACTCTAATTTATACTCTTGAGATAACCTCGAAAATGATCATTCGGTGTGTTAGTTAGAAGCATCAAATTAGTTTTTGTATAGCTGTCAATGTCATTTACTGCAGTATCTTTTGCCCACGAGTTGGTTGCAATTATCTTGTTATTTTATTGGCTTAGGCGGCGGAAAAAGAAAGCCAACCATAAAAGAGAAGTGAACCCTGCCCACGAGTTGGTTGCAATTATCTTATTATTTTATTGGCTTAGGCGGCGGAAAAAGAAAGCCAACCATAAAAGAGAAGTGAACCCTGCCCACGAGTTGGTTGCAATTATCTTATTATTTTATTGGCTTAGGCGGCGGAAAAAGAAAGCCAACCATAAAAGAGAAGTGAACCCTGCCCACGAGTTGGTTGCAATTATCTTATTATTTTATTGGCTTAGGCGGCGGAAAAAGAAAGCCAACCATAAAAGAGAAGTGAACCCTGCCCACAGGAAAAAGAGGAGGATCTTGCAAGGCCTATGAGAAGGAGAGACAATAGCTGAATTAAAAGGTTTGGGTTGAGTTCAAGGGACAGTAGCAAAAAAGAAAAAAAATTCAAGTGTAACTTGAGTCTCATGCCTTATTCTCTCTATTTTTATTTGAATATTATTATGAATATTGTACTAAACTCTAAATCTAGTTATGGGAACTATTTATTAGATTAATGTGTCCAAGAATAGTTTGATTTATTCTTATATATGCCTAAGATTTCCTGATTTAATATGTGTATTAATGTCTGTGGATATGTGTCACGACCCATTTCCATGGACCGGACCGGCACTAGGACCTGGGTGGGCTTAAGGCCCCCGAAGCCCGTAGTAAGCCTAACTTATTTAAATCTTCTATTCATATTATTGGATTCAGGGGCCTTACATTTTATACATTGCATCCATAAATGCCACGTTGCCATATACTTTACATATGGACTTTTATAACTATTTGTTTACAACCCAACTGGAATACAATTGCGAACTCTTAACCTTTTTCATCGTTAATTTTCTATCATTAAATCTTCTACAATAAGCTGTCTCAACGCAATAGGGCTTTCCTTTCTTTCTATTACCTGAAAAAATAGTGGCAGGGATGAGCGCCAAACTCAATGAGTAGGTTAGATACCCTCTCCACCCACACAATCACACAGATGCCTAAAATATTTTATCCGGTTCCGTTTAATTTATGGATCATGCCCTTTGTCACACCAATGGCAATACAACAGCAATGCACAAAGTATTAATCACCTTCATATAATCACATCAACGTGGAAATTAGTCAATTGGCACCACTGAATCCACAGCGAGCCCTCCTCACACATGGCTCGCCCTCTCCATCATGTGCACCAGGGAAGCCGATTTCCCCATAACGGCCCACTGGTCTATCCTCACTGAACCAGTCCTCTCATTGTTTTTCCATTCTCTCTTTTCTTTTTCCATACACAGGGAGGCAAACCCGGTTGGTCCTCCATCCAATCTAGATCATCACCAGTGGCCACAAACAGGAGGCCACCCTGCGGGCTACAAATCAAATCTAGATTTCAGGTGCGCAACACGAAGAAGCCATCCTGTGGTTTTCCATTATAATCATATCATCAGGTGCACACGGGGGCGCCGATCCTCCCATTTCCCGGCCGACGGTCAAATTCCATATCATATCATATTCCAGGATCCATATTCACAGAGACGTCCTCACACCATGGTGGTCCACGTCATCCAATTTCCCACTCATCCCAATTCCACACAAGCAAAGCACAGCAATATCACATCACAGCGAATCAAGCAATACAAATAGTGCAGCACGATATGGCAATTCAACAAAATAATGCATGATAACATTTAGCCGTGAATGCATGAATGCAGGTGGATGATACTAGTTATCTAACACTACTCACAGTTCTTTATTGTCCTTTAAAAGGACTGCCTTTTTTAGCCACATGCTTCCAGCTTTTGTCCTCGCATTTTGTATTTTATAAGCCTTTAAAATAAACAAGAAATTTCTAAATAAGAATTTTAATTCAAAAACTTTATATTTCACATTCGTTTATTTATTTTTGGCTACCCGGTCATTTAATTCACATAATCCATTAAAATGTACTTGTTCTAATAACTATTATTTGTTAATAAAATTCCTAAAAATTTATTAATTAGCTAGGAATATATTCTTTTTTTTTGTAAGCCAAACCTTATAAGTTAATAATTAATATTCAATAAAATCTATTTAATAATATTAATTTATTTACTTAAATACCTTAATTAAGTTTCGATTAATTAATTAATTCAGAATTTATTCAAAAATTGTCGGATTAAGCCTTTTAGAGTGTACGATTTTAAAATCAAATTTTCATTTCCCGTGTTCCGCAACGAAGAGGAGAGCATCTGTCCCTTGAAGTCTCGCGCGGCCGGTCGCCGGAACCGCCGCCGGCCGCCACGTGCCACGGTGGCCGTGCACGGTGGCCGGGAAAGTCAAATCTTCACCAAAATTAACAAACAATACATCATTTTATTCGTTTCGATGAGAGGATTACTAATATGTATTCAAATTAAGATGGGTGTGAACTATTTGGCTGGAAATTGACCGGAAAGGTTCGGTGATACCCATTTTGTGTTTTCCGATTCCGGCTATTACAGTCGACGAGGAGGCCACCAAATGAAAGAGGAAGAAGAGAGGAGTCATTTGATACTCACCTTGCGCCCAAAGCTTGCCTGAAACGGCGTGAATCGTCGGAGAAAGGTGTCGCTACGGTGGCCGAAACTTCAAGCTCTTCCCCTTCAAAAAATTTCAAGTTCAAATCTAAGCTATTAATCTGTCTTCCTCACGTTGAGTAGATATTTTTAGAGTATCATTTAGACTGAATTTGGGTGGCCGGAGGAAGGAGTCTTCCTTGCGTTGAGTAGATGTTTTTAGAGTATTCATTTGCCGGATTTGGTGGCCGGAGGACGGAGATCGAAGGAGAGGAAGAGAGGGTCACGCAGAGAAGAAGAAGAAGAAGAGAAGGAAAGAAAAGAAAGAAAGAAGAATCGTGCAGCTTCTAGACCATTCCGGTTCGATTCAAACCGGTTTGGTCTAATTCAATGATTCGGCTCGATTTTTGCTCGGTTTGCAAGTTTTTCATTTGGTTTTCAGATTATTCGTGTGGTTTTCGAAAAATCAATTTGATTTTCGAGTCTGGTTTAATTTATTTTGATTATTTTAGTTAGGTTCTATAACATTTCTTCAATTTACTTAATGTTAATATTAATAATCATAATATTCGATTTTTTTAAGATAAATTTCGATAATGTGTTTTGGGCTTGAGCCCAACTTCGTAAACTTGGGCTTGAATTGAGGCAATTTTATACTTGCAGTCCACATGATTAAAATTTTTGATTTTTGATTTAATAAAAATTCAAAAGTTTCGAAAATAAAAATTCGGGGTATTACAATCTCCCCCCCTTAAGACAATTCGTCCCCCCTTAAGACAATTCGTCCTCGAATTGAAATCTAGTGGGAAAGAATAAGAATGGACACATGAGAAATTTTAAAGTCATAAGAAATTGCTTCCACTACCAAGGAGACAGCTCAAAAGCAAAAATACAGATCGAGGAAAGGCAGTGAGTGGGGTATTCTGGTTGTACTTCTACCGTCAATTATTATATTTAGAATAAAATTTCATTCAAGCTACATAGTACCACCTAGCTGAAGCTTATAAGGAGTTTTATTACATTAATCTAATACTATCATCGTTCGGCTATTGGAATCTTTAGAAAATCGCTCATTAAATAAACATCTTTCAATAAAACCGAGTTTAGCAATAAAGGCGTAATAGTAATAATGTACATTTTTCTCAAGCTTATTTACTTTCATTTGAAAATTAATTTCTTACGCAGAACAATTTGACATTCAATTTATTTATAATAAGAATTGATTCATTTAATTTCCATATGTTATGACTAAATCTTTTCTTAACCAAAGTTGAAAAACTGTTACTTTAATCCAAAATTTTTAAGAAAAATTATCTTGTAATTCCCGTTGTCTATATTGTCGCAGGATTATTCAAGATTACTCTATCAGTTCTTTTTATACAAGTTCAATTCTTCTTATAATATATTTATTGTACACTAGCGCAATAATTTAAATAACTCATTTACGTGTGACATCCCAGGTTTGGGGCACAACACCGAAAACATCAATAAACTCAATTTTCTTCGCACACCCAACCTCCTGCGTCAACTAAATATTTAATTCGTTTCAATAATGAAAGTTCAATTTATGCCTTAATTATGAAATGAAGCAAGGCCCTCTAATTAGCCTTATAATACTTAAGCTAATCGTTAATTTTTCCATCCAAGTTTAAATATTAGTATCAATTTTATTTATCTCATCCTTAACTTATTTATGTCCTAGCAAGGTATTTATGATTTCCTAAATTTATCCATGTAACCTTATCATTTCTAGTTTCCTCAAGGTAGCACACTGCCACCTGGTATTATTATCTAGACCTCGACTGGAGTTCTGTCCTTCTCTTCGCTGACATGTCAAAATTTTTTATCCATTACCTTACGATTCACATTCACTAGCTTTCTTTTAATTCTCTTTTCTGTAAAGGATTTAAATTTATTAATTGGTTATACTTATTGAAAAAGCTGAAGAAAATTAATTGCCACATATTCATTGAACTCCAAAATTCTCTAGAGTTAAATACTTTTCTTATGATCTCAATAAATTACCGAGAAAATTTTAAATTTTCACAATCAAAATCTCTTTAGTTCTGATTTGTTCACAATTTACTAACAGTTTAAAAAGGTTAATAGTACTAAGATTTTCCATTCTAAATGGATCTAATTTCTAAGTTTTCTTGATTTGTATTTCCTTCTTGAGAAAAATTTTCCATTTTAATGAGTTCTTTATAATAAGTCTACAACATTCTAATATCTCATTAATCAGGCATTTTATCAAATGGTGTCTACTTAAAGATTTTTTTTGAGTAACTTAAGAAGTCCTCATTTATTAATTCCATCTTATAACATTGTTTCACCCGTTATAAATTAATTAGATTAATGTTTATTCAAAATTCGACTAATGAGTTGACAAACTACACGCCTAAGGGTTTGGACCATCCCATGGGTAACTGACTAATTTAAAACTTTCCAAAATAATTTTCCTTTTCCAACTTTTTAAAAAACATGGCAGTCACTCACCATCAAAACCTTGAAATTCCTTTTTAATAGAAATTTTGCATTTTACTTTTATTTTAGAACCATCTCAATCGTGGTATAAAAAAATATTTTTATAAAAGTTTGAAAAAATCACACCTCCATTGTATTTTCTAAAACCTTTGGTATTTAACAAAAATGAAATTGTCTCATCTCAGAGGACAATCCTTAAATCATCTAGTTCCAGTCTACTGTTACATATTTCTCCCTAATGATCCTCTTAAAAAGAATATTCTATCTCCATCATTACTATTCCTTTTCGCTACTTACTAGTTCTCAAGTAGACTGGGTCACCTTAAATTTTCCCAAAAAGTTATTTCTTAAATTTTCCCAAAAGTTATTTTCAGTAATGATTTATATTTATATTATTATTTTGTCTTTATTTATTTAGTTATTTATTTTATCATCATTTTTTTTTATATATGTATATTTCTTACATCTGAATAATTGACCATATGATCATCATCGGCTTGTCTACGATTTAACATCCCCTAGTCTTATCCAAATTCTTTAGCCTTTTGATTCATTTTAATCTTTCTTTTATCCTTCATATCTCCTTAGTGTACCCAACCTCATTTAAGTCTTATCCATAAAAGAGTTTAATTATGGATACATGAATCGTAAAACCATCATTCTACACAAAATTTAATTCCATCCTAAAGTCATTGCTTCTTAGATTCCCTTATTCTGATTTTTCAATCCAAAATTTAATTCCGTCGTAACCGTCATTATTTCTTGAATTTCTTATTCTAAATTTTTTTTTTTTTTTTTTTTTTTTCTCTACTTCGATCATTATGAGTTATCTTTGACCTTTATTCTGTTTCCAAATTTATTAACTTTTATTTTATTTTATTAGCCAACCTCGAATCTAAATTTGATACTTAATCTTTAAAGCTAGGTTTTATACACGTTTCCTTATTTCATTACCTTAGATTAATTAAATGGTATTAGTCCTTTCTACAATAACTCTCTACCTAGATACATCAATTTCCTCTAAAATTTATTAAGCTTTCCTACAGCATCCCACGTTCCTTCCCCATTCATTCCCCATTATTTCATCATCTTTCTTACAATTCATTTTATTATAATAGCATTTATGTTTTTAAACTTAGTCTAGCCCTTTAAGCATCCTACATTGTGCTAGGATCTTTAATTATATAATATCTAATACACTTACTAACTTTCACCTTATAAAATTTTTAGATTATACCAACTATCCCTTAGTTACCACATTTAGGTTCCATAAGTCTATTTATCGATTCAATCTAATTGCTCATTTTATTATAAAAGATTCATAATTATTTCATGGCTTGTAATTAACTTCTATTAACTATTTCTTCTATTAACTATTAGTCAATCTTTTTCATATTAATCAAATTTTAAATTCAAACTTTTGCCCAATTATTTACTAACTACTTTTAATTCTATATTAAAACACCCAAAATTTTACCCTTCATATGCAAAGGAAGTTTTACCCGCTTCTTTATTATATTTAGTTATTCTGTCTCACCTCAATATGACCTACTCAGTTATCATTATTTTCTTCACATTTAATCACATACTTATGTACCTTTGTCTTTTATTTTAATTTAATTGCTCTATTTAAATTCTATACGTCGAGATTCACCTTAATCAATACCTTTTATTGTACTTAGACACAAATTATTGTTTCCACGTCTAACTCTATTTAATTTTTTTTTCCAATAAGTCTCTATCCTCCTTAATGTTATACTTAAGTAAGTTACAAATTTTCTCTTTACATCCTTAAGTTTCGCTTGGTTAATGGAGGATTTCTTGTCTAGTATGATTATTTGTCCTAAATCCTCCTTTTTCTAACCCTTAATTTAATTTAAATTACAATTTCCACTTTTTATTCCCTAACCGTAACATTTCTAGAATTTAATCTATATCTTAATTGAAATTTTAAATTTTAATTCAAATTCATATTCTATACCATTTATTATTAATTTATACAATATTAATTTCTATAGGCCTAATTTAGTCCTCGGATAGACAATTGATTAAAATAAATTCAAACATTGCAATCATTTGAAAATAATTTAAATTCTAAAAATCAGATAATTTTTTTTTTTGACATGCCGACAAAACCAATTAAAACCAAGCAATTAATTGCCAAACTTTCAAAACAATTTTCCAATAAGGCAAATAATAAACATGTTTCTCCAAATCATAGTTCAAAATAAATTTACTTTCTTATTGTCTTTTTTAAAACTCCGAATTCTTTTTCTAAATTAATTTCAATTTTTTTTTTTTCTTTTTTGAAGCAGTGTCTCTTGTCGAATTCCATGGTGTAATGGGTGATCAGGCCATTACACCAATTTCCAAACTGATCTTCTGCTTCAAAATAGATGGGAGGGGATTTAGCCAAAACTCGAAATGTTTATTTTATAAACGTCAGTTACCCGACTTTTTTATGATTTACTCATTACTTATATACATTAATTCTCATCCTAAGTTTCATATAGATTCCTTCCATCCTCGTTGCACGATGCGTTCACCGGCCACTAAAAATGGGAATTCAATCCAGACTACACCCTCCTTTGTGGTTACGGCCGATCCCAACATAGAGCCTCTCTATTTAATTTCCTATGTTCCGCAATTGATTCCTAAGGCCCGACTTGATGCTTCTTGATACCAACTTTGTCACGACCCAATTTCCATGGACCCGACCGGCACTTAGGACCTGGGTGGGCTTTAAGGCCCCCGAAAGCCCGATAAGCCTAACTTATTTAAATCTCACCTTTCTATTCATAATTATGGATTCAGGCCCATTAACATTTTTTATTTACATATGCCATCCATAATGCAGTTCATATACTTAATATGCCGCTTTTACTATTTTGTTTACAACCCAACTGGAATACAATTGCCGGAACTCTACCTTTAAACATTCACATCGTGTATTTCTATCAATTAACAATCTTTCTACAATTAAGTGTCTCAACTCCATACGCGGCTTTCCTTTCTTTCTATTTACCTGAAAAAAATAGTAAGCACGGGATGAGCCGCCAAACTCTAATGAGTAGGGTTAGAGATAACCCTCATCACCCCACACAATCACACAGATGCTAAAATATTTTTTATCGGGTTACCGTTTAATTATATGATCATGCCACTTTGTCACACAAATGGCAATACAACAGCAATCACAAGTATTATCACCTTCATATAATTCACATCACGCTGCGAATTAGTCAATGGCCACCACCGGGAATCCCCAGCGAGCCGTCCTCACACATGGCTCGCCCTCTCATTACATTGTGCCACCAGGGAGCCGATCCCCCATACGGACAAACTGGGTTCTATCCTCACTGACCAGTCCTCTCATTTTTCCATTTCTCTCTTGTTTCTTTTCATACCAACAGGAGGCAAACCCGGTGTCTCCATCCAATCTAGATTCATCAAGTGCTCACAACAGGAGGCCACCCTGCCGGGCTACAATCAAATCTAGATTATCTAGGTGCGCAACAACAAGAAGCCATTCCTGTGGTTTTCCATTATTAATCCATATCATCAGGTGCACCACGGGGGCGCCGAATCTCCCATTTTCCCGGCCGACCGCCCGTCTCAAATTCCATATCATATCATATTCAGGATCCATATCACAGGACCGTCCTCACAAACCCATTGGTGGTCCACGTCATCCATTCCACACAAACAAGGCACTCATCCCAATTCCACACAAGCAAAGCACAGCAATATCACATCACAGCGAATCAAGCAATACAAATAGTGCAGCACGATATGGCAATTCAACAAAATAATGCATGATAACATTTAGCCGTGAATGCATGAATGCAGGTGGATGATACTAGTTATCTAACACTACTCACAGTTCTTTATTGTCCTTTAAAAGGACTGCCTTTTTTAGCCACATGCTTCCAGCTTTTGTCCTCGCATTTTGTATTTTATAAGCCTTTAAAATAAACAAGAAATTTCTAAATAAGAATTTTAATTCAAAAACTTCACATTCGACTTAAAATATATATATATATAATATAACCGGTCATTTAATTCACATAATCCATTATAATTAATTTGTTTCATAAACTTATTTATTTGTTACATAAAATTCCTAAAATTTATTATTAGCTAGCGAATATATTTTTTTTTTGTACCAACCTTATTAGTTTATAATTAATATCATAAAATCTATTTAATAATATTTTAATTTAATTTCTTTAAATTACTTAATTAAGTTCAATTAATTAATTTAATTCGAATTTATTCAAAAATTGCGGATTAGCTCCTTTAGGAGTGCTACCGATTTAAAATCAATTTCATTTCCGTGTTCCGCACGAAGAGGAGAGCATTCGTCCCTTGAAGTCTCGCCGGCCGCGTCGCCGGACGCCGCCACCGCCACCGTGCCCACGGTGGCCGGAAAGCCGTGCACGGTGGCCGGGAAAGTCAAATCTTCACCAAAATTAACAAACAATACATCATTTTATTCGTTTCGATGAGAGGATTACTAATATGTATTCAAATTAAGATGGGTGTGAACTATTTGGCTGGAAATTGACCGGAAAGGTTCGGTGATACCCATTTTGTGTTTTCCGATTCCGGCTATTACAGTCGACGAGGAGGCCACCAAATGAAAGAGGAAGAAGAGAGGAGTCATTTGATACTCACCTTGCGCCCAAAGCTTGCCTGAAACGGCGTGAATCGTCGGAGAAAGGTGTCGCTACGGTGGCCGAAACTTCAAGCTCTTCCCCTTCAAAAAAAAAGCTATAATCTTCTCCCACGTTGATAGATATTCTTCCTTGCGTTGAGTAGATGTTTTTAGAGTATTCATTTGCCGGATTTGGTGGCCGGAGGACGGAGATCGAAGGAGAGGAAGAGAGGGTCACGCAGAGAAGAAGAAGAAGAAGAGAAGGAAAGAAAAGAAAGAAAGAAGAATCGTGCAGCTTCTAGACCATTCCGGTTCGATTCAAACCGGTTTGGTCTAATTCAATGATTCGGCTCGATTTTTGCTCGGTTTGCAAGTTTTTCATTTGGTTTTCAGATTATTCGTGTGGTTTTCGAAAAATCAATTTGATTTTCGAGTCTGGTTTAATTTATTTTGATTATTTTAGTTAGGTTCTATAACATTTCTTCAATTTACTTAATGTTAATATTAATAATCATAATATTCGATTTTTTTAAGATAAATTTCGATAATGTGTTTTGGGCTTGAGCCCAACTTCGTAAACTTGGGCTTGAATTGAGGCAATTTTATACTTGCAGTCCACATGATTAAAATTTTTGATTTTTGATTTAATAAAAATTCAAAAGTTTCGAAAATAAAAATTCGGGGTATTACAATCTCCCCCCCTTAAGACAATTCGTAAAAATTCAAAAGTTTCGAAAATAAGAATTCGGGGTATTACAATATGTTGGGTCTCATATTTACATAATTTTAGACCGACTTATATGATTGGAAAATTGACTTATTAGTCGAACTTAAGTGTTAAACTTAAAAAAATAGACTTAGAGATAGGTTAGATTTCTTCGAGGGCCAACAGATTTACACCAACTTATTGGGTTTCAGTTAACGTAGTACTACGAAAATATGTGTCATTCTGATTCTAACACGTCCATTTAACCTTGAAATATGAACTTGGATATTTTATATTAGTCTTCCTTCAAGAACAGTTATAAACCATTAAATTAACCATTCGAAGTATACATTAAGCTAATAAATATCCCATAGCTAGATTATCTAGAATACTAATTAATTAAATCCTTGAAAATTGTTAGCTTAATTTACTTTAATATGTAGTTATTAATTTTATTTAATGTTGCCAAATATTTACGGTTTTCTTGATAATTGTTAAACATAAAAATTAATAATCTATTGGGATTAATAATCTATTTCCCAATCCTATGGATTTGACAATTTTTTTTCACTATATTACTTGTATGGCCATGCACTTGCGGAATTCGCAATCATAGCCATCAAAATTCAATGGACAAGAATTATTGTGGATTTTTGTTTTCATGATTATATATATTATAGATATAAAAATTTAGAAATTACATTTTATGCGATTAAGAAACATCCCTATTTTATCCGAGGGTTTATCCATTTGGCTCCACTTTTTCAAATACATGGTGCTTAAAGAACTTATGCTGAAATAGAGATGGCACACGCTTCTTTTGAAGCTCGAATTTATCTATATGCTCGTGTTGGAGATTGAAAGGAGGAGATAAAACAAAGAAATGAATATAGCAGAATTTAGAGTAGAAAAAACAAAGTACCTTCAAATACAATTTTTTTTTCTTTTTTTTTTTTTTTTGTCCTTTCTTCTTCATTTTTCCACATAAATTAATGTTCTTACAAAATATCCCTTTCCTCTCCAAGCTTTTGGCTTTCACATTTTAATCTCATTTTCTTTCATTGCTAAGATTGCTTTTCTATAGCAACATTACAAAAGCTTTTTACAAGAAGTCAATACTAACTTCCATGATTTAAAGAAATTTGTCTATTTCTGGCAGAATTTAGGTTTTTTACCATAAATTCACTCAACATTCAAATATTCTAGAGCTTTCATGTAAAAATTAATTCATGAAAAATAATAAAGCTGAGTTAAGAGCACTAAGCGCCACGGCACCAAGGAAGCTGTTGTCAAGTCAACATCTTGTTTGGCCTTAGAAAACTGTTTCGGTGTTGCCATAGTTAATAGATTTTTATCTTGCTATTTATTTTTGCCATTCCCAATTTGCAGAAAAGTTTCCACCGGACAAAGCAAAGCTTTCCCACGTCCTCAAATTAAAAGCTGAAACCTCCGAACGGTTAATATTTAGTCGTACAATAATCCATCCTCAGAAGAAAAATTAGCAAGCCAAAGAACAAAGGGGGAAAAAGTAGCAGAGAATGGAGGGAATTCCAGAGGCAAGCATCGGCTCAAGTGGCCAAAAAATTCCAATTATAGGTTTTGGAACTGCTGATTTTCCGTTTGGCGATTATGATTCAGTGAAACAATCTGTTGTTAATGCAATTGAAGTTGGCTACAGACACTTCGATACTGCTGCTATTTACCAGTCCGAGAAGCCTCTCGGCGACGCTATAGCTGAAGCTCTGCAACGCGACCTAATCAAATCACGGGATGACCTCTTTATCACTTCTAAGCTCTTTTCCAATAACGCTCACTCTCATCTCGTTCTTCCGGCACTCTCATCTCGTTCTTCCGGCTCTGCGAGAGACTCTCCGGTTAGCACTCTACAATTCATGGTTTTTTTATTAATTAAGCGAATTGTAAATTCTTTTTTGGTGATTGTGGTATTAACGGGTGCAGGAATCTTGGAACGGAGTACCTTGATCTGTTTCTAATTCACTTTCCAGTGAGTTTGAAATCAGAAACCCAATTCCCGTTTAAGCCAGATGATATTGTTTTGATGGATTTTGAGTCTGTTTGGAAGGCTATGGAAGAATGCCAAAATCTTGGCCTCACAAAAGCAATAGGAGTCAGCAATTTTACTTGCAAGAAGATTGACAAGTTACTTGCCACTGCAACAATCCCTCCGGCACTCAATCAAGTAAGTTCATTTTTCTTTGCATCTGGGCTTGCGATGGTTGCGTTAACATTATTTATCGGGCGTTTGGTTTAGCTAATTCTTCGCTGTGGTGTACCCACTCAAAGAAGAAATCAATCGAGGGTTAACCACATAAATTTCTGTGTTTTTATTTCTATTATTTCGCTGTTGTAATTATTTTTGTAACTTTATCCCCGGTATCTAACAAGTGGTATCAGAGCTGATGCCCAAAAACTGGTATTAGAGCTGATGCTGAACAAGTGGTATCAGAACTGAAAGTTTCGGTAGGTCCAGCTGGTCAGATAATGGTACCGGATCCGTGGATATATTTTGAAAATAAATATATAGCGACGAGTCAATTGGTGCCGTCCGCTCGAAAAGACGTGCAGAATCAACTTAGTGATGAATAGTAAAATAGTAACTCAAAGTTGATGTGAACAGTACTATTGGCGTTACTATTGCTGAGTCCCTTTGAAGTAAGCCCAGCACTGTTTACGCATAGTGTTATTTACGTGTACAGTTACTGTTTATGCATACAGTTACTTCAGAGTATACTGTTACTATTCATAGTCACTATTCACGTATACGGTTTATGTTGGTGATGATTTTCTGCGCAAGTCAAAATGGACAAGCAAAATGATCAGTCTAAATAGCGGGAATTACCATATATGGATATGGAGAAATGAGATATCTCCTTATGGTAATCAAAATGCATTTGTCTGTGTTTAGTTGAACTAAATCGAAAGAGAAGACTGACGAGGAATGGGCTTTCGAGCATGCATCCAAATCTCGATTGGTAGATTTGATAATGAAGGTTTCTGTAGCACCTTCAGAAATGGTCAGTGGAAGCTCACAAAAGGTTCATTTGTGGTAGCTAGAGATCGAAAACTATACGTGATGCATGCGAAACTCTCACAAGACACTTTGAGTGTAGCGGAGAATGACAGTACAGTTAAATTGTGGCATAAACGACTACGCCACATGAGTAAGAAAACTTTGGCAAGAAGGAACGTATTACCTGGATCGGATGAAGTTCACCTAGACAAGTGTCTTGATTGTATGGCGGAAAAGCTAAACAGAGTAGCTTTCAAGATTACCCCTCCTTCTAGAATGAAGAATGTAATTAATCCGTCGATTCATTCAGATTGTGTGGACCATGTGATGTCATATGTGGAAAATCGATATTTTGTGACATTACGATTTATCGATGACCATTCTAGAAAGACCTGGGTATACACATTGAAGTCTTCTAAACCTAGTTGAGAGACAGACAGGCAAGAAGTTGAAGTGTATCAAGACAAATAATGGTGGAGAATACACTGGGCCATTTGATGCTTTCTGCAAAGAACATGGTATTCGACATCAAACGACACCTTCTAAGACGCTGCAACTGAACGGTTTGGCTGAGAGGATTAATAGAACTTTGATGGAGAGAGTCAGATGTTTACTCTCACATGCAAAGTTGTCTAAAGGTTTTGGGGTGAAGCTTTTCTTACAGCAGCTCACGTTGTTCCTCTACAGTATGATACTCCAAAAAGCAGAGAGATCATTGGTTAGGGAAAGTATGTTTCCTATAGATCATTGTTGGTGTGGTACATGTCCCGAAAGGAACGTCTAAGCTTGATGCAAGACTATCGATGGTGTGGTATGATTAGCTTATGGTCCCCAAGACCAATGTGGCATGGTTTAAAACCCAATCCAGAAGGACGATTATCAGAAATCGTGATGCTGATTTGTTGAAGACAGAACTATGAAGATATTGAAGCAGAGTGCCAAAGTAGAGCTGTGAAGACTCAATAGACAACAGAGAGTCCCTCCAAAAACGCAGACAAATTGGAGATGAAGAAATGTTCCACAAGAAAAAGTGCCAGAAGTTAGAAAATCCAGAAGTTCAATATGAAAATTAACCGGCATGAAGATGTTGCGTTTCATGTGCAACCACCAGCACCGAAGTTCTCAAAACATTAAAGAAATTAGTAGAGTCTGACAACCATCTACTAGATATCCAGTCAATGAGTATGTACTAATGACTGACGGGGGAGAACCTGAAAGCTTTGAAGAAGCTATTGAAAATGAACACAAGAGGAATTGGATTGAAGCCATGCAAGATGAAATGAAGTCCTTGCATGAGGATGAAACATTTGAGCTGATGAAGTTACCTAAATGCAAGAAAGCTTTGAAGAACAAGTGGGTGTTCAGGATCAAGCAGGAAGAACACAGCTCCCAACCATGATTCAAAGCTGGACTGATTGTGAAAGGATTTAATCAAAGAAAGGGTATTGATTTTGATCTTTTCACCAGTTGTGAAAATGACATCTATTCGAACAATGCTCGGAATGGCCGCCAGTTTTGAACTGGAAATCGAGCAAAAATGGATGAAAGACTACCTTACTATATGGAGAGTTTGGAAGAAGAATAGACATGGAGCAACCTGAGGTTTCGTAGAAAAAGGATTGTGTTTGCAAACTGAAGAAGAGCCTGTATGGCTTGAAGCAAGCACTTGAGACATGTCAACAGAAGCTTGAGTTTGTTATGGGGAGCATGGCTACAAGAAAGACTACTTCAGATCATTGTGTTTTATTTCTCTGATTGATGTATATTGTTTTTGCTCATGTGGTGGATGATATGTTGATTGTTGTCAGAATTCTAGCTTGAAGAGAACAGCTAAGTAAGTTCTTTGCCATGAAAGATTGGGACCCGCAAGGCAAAGCAAATTCTTGGCATGAAGATCGAAGAGCCAAGAAATTATGGTTGTCACATGAGAAGTACATTGAGAAAGTACTTTAAAGGTTTAGAATGAAAAACGCTAAAGCGGTGAGTTGTCCTCTTACGAATCACTTTAAATTAAGTTCTAAACACTGCCCTTCTACTGATGGAGAGAAGGAAGAAAAGGAAAAGGTTTCATACGCTTCAACAGTTGGAAACTTGATGTATGCCATGGTTTGTACACGGCCAGATATTGCTCACTCAGTTGGAGTAGTAAGTCGGTTTCTTTAAAATCCTAGAAAGGAACATTGGGCTGCAGTGAAATGGATTTTCAGGTATCTTCGAGGTACAACCAAAGTATGTTTATGCTTTGGAGATGAGAAGAGTATTAGTTCGGTTATACCGATGCAGATATGGCTGGAGATGTCGACTCCGAGAAAGTCTACATCAAGATAGCTGATCAATTGCAGGGAGCGTGTCGCTGGCAGGTCCAGATTACAAGAAATGTGTTGCTTTATCAACAACTGCGAGTCAGAAATTCATAGCTAAACAGAAGCTGGCAGAATGAGTTGCTGTGATGAAGAAGTTCTTGAATGAACTCGTAAATTCATCAAGGAATGATATTTGATATCTCGATAGCCAGAGTGCGATTCATCTTGGGAAGAATTCCTCCTTTCATCTCAAGGTCTCAAGCATATTGATTTAGATATTCATTGGATCAGGATGTATCTGGAGGATGAAGCAGTTACCAACTTGCCGAAGATCCATACAGATGAAAAATGATCCAGATATGTTAACGAAGATTCTTCCAAAAAACAAGTTTGAATATTGTCGACTAGCTGCAGGGATGATAGAGAGTATGGCTAACGTCCCCACTTGAGTGTGTATGGGGAGATTTACTGTGGTGTACCCACTCAAGTGGGACCCACATGTTTATTTTTTGGTGGTTTGTTATTGGTGTGGCGGTGCCCACTCAATTGGGACCCACACACAATTTGAAAAAGAAAAAAAAAGGAGAAAAACATGTTATTTGAAAAAGAAGGAACCAGAGTTGTACACGGCTCATTAAATGCGTTCGTACGCGTTAACCTGCCTATAAATAGAGGCAGATGCAGCACAACACAAAAATACATGGTAGAAGAAGAAGAAAAAAAAATGTAGAGAGGTTATCTAGTTTTAGGAAGGGTTCCTAAAACTAGGGGAGAGAAAAATAGTGAGAAAATTATTTTGGGGTGTTATTATTTTGGGGTGTTTTTGGGAAATACTTTGAGTGCCACTATTTTGTATTACTCTCTTTGTAAGCCTACTAATTTTTAATAGTAGAAGAAATATTCGGATTTTGTCCTGTGAACGTAGCCCTAAACAGTTGAGGGTGAACTATGTAAATTTCTGTGTTCCCATTTCTATTATTCCGCTGCCGTAATTATTCTCGTAACTTTATTGCCGGTACCTAACGAGTGGTATCAGAGCTGATACCCAAAAACTGGTATCAGAGCTGATGCCGAACATTCTTGTACCTTACAGTTAGGTTGCAGGCATTTGGTAAGCTTTTTAACAGCTGTTGATGGCTGATAGAAGTATCAACCAATTGAACTGTTGATTTTATTAGCTATGAGTTGGAGCTTTTTCATATTATCTGCTAATATACTTTTGTTATGTTTTAATAAGGTAGAGATGAAGATTTTATTAGCTATGAGTTGGAGCTTTTTCATATTATCTGCTAATATACTTTTGTTATGTTTTAATAAGGTAGAGATGAACCCTTATTGGCAACAGAAGGAGCTAAGGAACATTCTTGTACCTTACAGTTAGGTTGCAGGCATTTGATAAGCTTTTTAACAGCTGTTGATGGCTGATAGAAGTATCAACCAATTGAACTGTTGATTTTATTAGCTATGAGTTGGAGCTTTTTCATATTATCTGCTAATATACTTTTGTTATGTTTTAATAAGGTAGAGATGAATCCTTATTGGCAACAGAAGGAGCTAAGGAAATTATGTAAAGAAAAGGGTATTCATATAACAGCATACTCTGCATTGGGAACCAAAGGGACTCCTTGGCAAATTGATCGTAGACCTATGGAATGTGATGTCTTGAAACAGATTGCCACTGCTAGAGGAAAGTCAGTGGCTCAGGTAATTGATTTGTTGGTCATGTTCATATTATTATGAAAGCTATATATGAGCTCTAACTGGGTGCATACATAATCAGGTGTGTTTGAGATGGGTGTATGAGCAAGGTGTTAGCGTCGCGGTCAAAAGCTTTAACAAGGAAAGAATGAAAGAGAACTTGATGATATTTGATTGGGAGCTAAGTAAGGAAGAGTTGGACATGATTGATCAAATTCCACAAAGCAGAGGTCATCTTTGTGAGTATTTTATCTCAAATGAAGGCCCATACAAGTCCCCCTTTGAGTTCTGGGATGGAGAAATTTAATACTACTAATTTTCCTTTTCAACAATAATAATCAACCCCTTTGTGGGCTTTCTTGTTTGTGAGGAGACATATACATATATACATACGAGTAATTTGTATTAAATAATTAACGTGGGTAATAATAATTGGAATAAACAATTTTAACTGAACACATATCTCATTATTCTGCTTTAATGATTAGTTCCTACTGCTGTGGAAGCTCCAGTTACATACACATGGCTATATTATTAATTTTATTAATAATATTACTAAGTTAATGTTAATGATTTTCCACAAAATGCTCACAACCAAATTATTTTATTAATAATATTACTACAGGATTAGGATCTGCAAGACTCCCTGTAAAAGTGCTAGCTGCGCGTTGAGTTGTAAATTTCCTTCACCATGTTACATTTTCACTCGACCAACCATACATAGATAACTAAAATAACTACCGTTATAGCAATCCTGAAATGCGAAAAGAAAGGGCAGGAAGCCAAGATTAATAATAGCTTGGCTTTCAGTTCCAAGTATCAAATTGGCACTTGGCAGTTTCACTAGTTCAGAGCTTCAAATTGGCAGTTTCACCAGTTCAGAGGTTATCTTTGCTGTAAAAGAAGGATAAGAGATCAAAAGGTATTCTTTATTGAATTGCTGATATAGACCAAACTAGGAAAAGCTACAAGGCTTCATCAAAGTCCTAAACCCCAAGATTTTCTTGAAAAAAAATTCATTAAGAATTCACATACTTGTATTTTATTAATTAATAGAACACAAAATGTTTTCCAGCAAATCTTTCTTCTATGCATTATAATTTCTTTTTCAATTTATAAATGGAGGAAAATGAATACCAAACATGTTAGTGTCCATTAAATATTATTTTTTTTTGAAGAGAAGTGTCCATTAAATATTTCTCAAATTCGTTTTAAGTAGAAAAAATAATCATTCAAAAGAAAATAAGAAACTCACAAAAAAATGGATTAATTTTTCTCTGTTAACAATCAGTACTTATAACTCTCATAATCAAAATCATCCTCTTCACAATTCTCATCATTATACATATCCTTATAATCATCTCCAGCAGCATATTCACCCTCTTCCCTCATTTCAGGACTTGTCGATTTCTCCTTTGTCTCCTCCTCCATAAGTTTCTTTAAAGCATCATAGTTAATCTTACAACTGACTCTCGTCCTCTTCATGTTCTCGCTCAAATCTCCATCGATTTTAACAGCTTTGTTGGCCAGACCTTCTTTCTTCTTAGATTTAAGAGCCTTTTGCGGTCGCTTTCCCTTTCTAGACCGATCTCTGTTCAACAGTTCCCACATGAGCTTTCTAAATTGAATTTCCTTCTTCCCATTAAGGTATCCAGCAATCTCGGCATCGTTTATACCAGTAAGATCTAATTCACCATAACGAACCTGTTTCTCCATCGTACAAAGATTTAGAGCGACAACAAGGGAATGCTCCAAGCGTCGATCGCAAAAAGTGGGGAGAGATCGCTCCCATTTTATAGGAGAACAAAGGGATTAGGGTGAACCCAACTACCATAATACCCTTCCTTCAATTTATTTGCCGCCTCTGTGATGACGGTGGGTCTTATAGGCCCAGCCCAGCCCAGCCCAGCGAAGCATTGTCTCTGGTTGCTGGTTTAGGTGCTAAAAATGTATCTTTTGAAGCTCCATTTATAAATGGCTATATTATTAATTTATTAATTATATAAAATGTATTTGTAGATTTTAAATTAAACTTAATTATAAATTTAAACTAATAAAATACTGTCCAACAAATTATTTATACATGACAGAAGTTGAAGGGAGATTCATGACAGTTCTTTTCCAGTGCAATAAAATTATCTATTTTTAGACAATAAAAGGTATTTTCCATGAGCTTGCAATGTTGATACTCGTAGAATATGCAATTTACACGTCAGTTCTGAGGAAATTTGATAGTCCTAACAAAAGGAACAAGAACATTAATCCGAAAAATAGATTTCATTCTTAAAGTGTTTTGCAAAAGAGATTGTTGAAAAAGAGTGCTGCTTCTACAAACTAAAGGTATACGCAGAGTAACAGTACAGACACTTTTCACATTTTGTGTATTGATAATTACATATACCAAGAATGTCAGAAAGGTTCCTAACATCTAAAGCCAACATGTAAAAAGAGATCAGAAAAGACCAAAGCTTCTTCCTCCATTCCCGTCACTCCTGATACAGCCAATTTAGTCTCCAGCCTAAGTTCTAACAAAAATTATAGATCTTTCTCTGATGGCATTAATTGCAATGAAAAGACGAACCAGCCATCTATTCACACTTAATCGACCTGTATATGTGTCGAACAAAGAGCAGGGAGGCACGGAAACCCACTGTCCCAAGCATGAGAAAGAAGCCATAGCATACGCAAGCCATGTACCCAAAGAAGAAAGAGGTTTGCATGAAGCCGGACATATCAGACCGCGCATAGTAATAATATAAGCAGTAAGCATAAATAAATAGCCCAGTCGATCCGCCACAGAGAAAAGACCTGTGAAAAATCCGAACATCTTCAAAACAGTGACAAGAACCACATCTACCAATTCAAAAAACAGTATGATAACCTTTATAAAATACAAGTAGAAGATTGGCAACCTAAGAATATAAAAGTAATAATAAAGGATGATAAGATTGTCTGAATAATGAACATAGCTCCCGGTAAAGGTAATGATATGGTAATGGACAGGCACAACACACTGAAAACTGCAGTTGGGGACTCCCGATAAATTCCAATATGGAAAGCTTATTCTCAGTCCCTTAAAAGACTTATCTTCTTGACTATTAAATTAAATATATTAAACATGAGAAAAGTCTTCATTAAATATTCAGAAGTGTGATAGACTGAGAGGTTGATTGACAACATTTGTAAAACCCATCTATAACTAATATTTCAGAATCAAATAATAAAAGTGCCAGTAATCTTTACTATAGGGTAGGGCAAACATAGACCTACTAGACCAAATAAGAAGAATCAGAATATCACCAAAACTTTCAACAGATAAAATAGTGAAGGAAAAAAATCAACAAAAGGGTGAAAAGTAACAGGGCAAAACTTATGTACCTCCACCACCATCCATGATCTTCAGCAGCAAGTTGGAAGTATGTCAAAGCCACGGTTATGAAAGCCGTGACAATCAAAAGAATAATGAAGACAATGAAAAGGATGCTATAGATAGTGTAAATCCTGTGACCCCAAACACTGGCAAAAATGTAGTATAGCTCAATGTAGATAGCACTAAAAGGCAGAAAACCAGCCATTGCCATCTGAGGAAGAGCACTCCTGTACCATGGCAATTGTGGGATTTCTCGAGGATATTTAGTGGTGCGACAGGGAGCTTGAAACTCAGCCTTGCTATTTTTGCCAGCAATACCACCCAACACAAGCAATGGAGATGTCACTAATGTCCATATAAGGACTATTACTACAATAGTGCCAAAAGGCAGTGCTGCAGTTGCACTGTAAACAATGGCTACGGTGTTAAGGAAGCAGAAAGTGAGGAACAGAGGCCCACAGAAAAGGCAACCTGTCAGCAAAAGATTCCTCACCTGTCAATGTTAAAAAAGGAGAAAATTAGTTCACCAGAAGAATTTTGCTCTTGAAAATGTCATATTAATAGTTAACTCTGCAGCAAGCAAAAGCCTTAAAAGCATACCCAGTTCTTTCCTTCAAGCTGACAATAGAAAGAGGTTGCAGTATATCCAGCAATCCCAGAAGTAAGGGCATATATGACCACCAAAGCAGTAAAAAGAGCTCCACGATTGTATGGATAAAATACACCAACAAGGGCAAGCATAAAAATAAATATGGTGCTGTAAGCGCATAAAAAAAAATTATATGATTAATCAATATAGCCAATAGTTAACAACATGATAAAGTCAACATCGTGCATTAGAATATAATTTGTCAATAGATTCCTTACAGTGTGAACAGCTGGGTGCCAGAACCAAGGGCAGCAGCAAACAAAGATTTGTACTTTGGATACCTAAACACATCACCATGAATGTACTTCCATCCAGTCTCTTCCTGATCATCAGCTGCTTCCTCATCTTGTGCATACCTTGAACAAATATAAATATCTTATAAAAATACATTCACATATATACCAATGAACTATACCCATGATTTGCAAATGAACCTTACTTCATGAAGTCATTTTTCAAGACCCGCATGAGAATTGTAGCAAGAAAACCAGTCAATAGGAGAACTGTCACACACGAGTTTATAATAGAGAACCAGTGAATTTCCAAGTGATGTGGCAGCGAAGATGAAAGCGAGTACTTATCCATTCTCTTTTCAAATGGAGTGTCCGTTTCCTTCCATTTTACAGTATAAAGGAATTCTGCATCAACTTCTTTGTCCTCCGACAAATCCAACAGCGAATGAGGATCCATTCGGTTGCTTACTTCAATAACACGGTCCTTATTGTAGAGAATATCATATTGGATGTGCTTGTAAAGAAAGTATTTGTAGTCACTCGGATCGGCTTTGCCTTCTTTGTCAACCTTTCCAATGAAACCCCAAATGGGCAAATCATCATAATACATTTGGAAGTAATAGTCTTTGTCAACTGCAGATCGAAACTTAGCAACTTCTTCCTTTGTGAGCTTCTTCCTACAAACAACTGCTGTGTCTTTCTCATCTCGAAAGTTGAGTTTGTAGGGAGCACTGACTAGACGATCTCCATTCAATACCTCACCAAGAGCTTCTGTTTTCTCCTTCAGGTGATCTGCCATTAAAATTCACTCAATCAAAAATATAAATTGGCAAAAAGTTCTTTCAAATAGCAATAAAACTTGATCCCGAAGGTGTATAACTCCTTGCAATGCCCTATTTTTAGCTTCAAGGTCTTCTATTATAAAACATATCACCAAAAACAACCTAAACTGGAAATCAAAACTTCCTAATCTCTTCCTTTTTCTTTACTTCTTTCTTCACAATATATTGCTATTAGGTCCGCTCTAAAATGATAAAATGCAAGTAGCTTCCAATCAAAATTCAAAGATTTCCTTTCGAATGCATAAATGCAATTGAAACATAATAAAAAGATAGGAACCTGGAACACAGAATGGCAGATCGAAATAGCGATATGTTTCACTGAAAGTTCAAACAACAAAATAAAATTTATCAGCAACTCAATTAAATATCACCATTTTACTAAAATAAAAGAGAAGAAAAATAAATTAAGAAAACCATCACACTCTACATCGATGTCCAGAAGCAGGATTAATAAGGATAACTTTGGCATTTTTTTAATTTTAGTTTCCAATATTAAAACCTCTAATTTCTTCTTTCAATGAGGAACCAAATAAGGCCTTAAGAATTTAATAAAAAATGAAAATGTACAATGTAAATCGAAAGCCAGATCTCGAAATTTACCTAGGATTGTGAAAAGGGCCGACCTTGTTGGCGTAGAGAGGAACAGGATCGCCGTCCTTGTAACGGTGATCGGAGGCGTCCGATCTCACGTGAGTTACAAAACAGGCGATTGCAACCACAAAAACAGGAATGTTCAAAGAATTTTTCATGATTCTCTGCTACTTCTCTCTCCTTTTCTCTTCTCTGTAAGTTGAATGGACGAGAAATAGTGCAGAGAGAGATATCTGATTACGAGCAAATACATACAGTGGCTCTTTTATTTATTTATTTTTCTTAACAATTTCATTTCTTTTGGAATTTGTACGTGTCCATTTGTGAATGCTCCGGAAAATATATTAATTAAGTTTTTTATAGTAATATTCATTTTATTTATTATTGTTACGTAATTATAAATGAAATGATCAAATAAAAATATTAATTGTTTTTATAAAGTTAATGTAATATTAATACAAATAAATTAAAGAAAATTTGTAAAATATAATTAATGGAATTAGCAGTTAATCAACTTGTACCTATTACGGTTCCTGGAACCGGAACCGGAACCGGAGATTTTCGGTTATAGTATTGTTGGAACCGCGAACCGGCGGTTCCACAAACCGGTCAAAACCGGAAGAAACCGCCGGTTTTTCGGCCGGTTCGAACCGGCGATTCTAGCAGTTAGAAACTGTCAGTTTTTTTTTTTAAATTTTGTTGTGAAATCTTTTAATTACCCCTCCCAACAACCATAAACGGCTACATAACAGCTAGTTTTAAGGGTATTTTTGGAAAAATAATTTTTTGGATTTATTATAAATACATCATTTCATTTCATTTACAAATTCCTCACAAAAAAATCTCTACTCTCTCTACGCTATACTACACTCTACTCTATATTATTTTTCTCTATTCTACGATCTCTCTTATTATTCTCTCTAATTTTTTTATTCAATTTTCTAAATTATATATTATTTTCATATAATGGCAAGTGGAGGAAACTCAAATTCTTCCTACTCTATATTATTTTTCTCTTATCTTACATCTCTCTTATTATTCTCTCTAATTTTTTTATTCAATTTTCTAAATTATATATTATTTTCATATAATGGCAAGTGGAGGAAACTCAAATTCTAGTAAGGCAAGGGAAAGATTGGAGTTCAAGCCCCCTTTTTTTTTAAATTATGTTCAAACTTTTTTAAACAAAAAATAAATTCAGCTGAAGACTTTTTTTAAAAAAAATAATTAAGTTCAAGCCTTTAAAAAAAATAAATTTAATTGAAGCATTTTTTGATTTTTTAGGTGTATTTTTTTTTAGAAATAACTTTCACAAATTTTTTAAAATTTGAAAACCGGTCTTCAAAAACCGGTCTTCAAAATTTAAAATTTAAAATTATGCGATTCGCTGAAAAATCGATCTAAACTGTCAGTTTTGAAACCGTTAAGGAATCGAAATCAGAACAAGAACCGAAAATTTTTTGTTCGATTCCAGTTCCAAAAAATTTGAAACCGGAACCGCCGGTTCTGGAACCGTAGCCGCCCCTACTTGTACCAGTTATCAATTTGAATATATTTTATTAATCTAATCATAAAAGATTATGAGAAAAGGTTGCAGCTGTAGCCTGTTTAGCGGATAGAAGGGTGTTTTCTATGGTTACTCTACTTCAAAGCAATGTGTACATGAACAGTATGGACAGTTGAACGAAAAGAAAAGGAAAGCGACCAGTGGTACTGGTAGCCGGTTGCTCAATGACAAACCAAAAAAAAAAAAAGAAAGAAAGATAAAAGTTAGCTGGCCTGGAGATTTTTCATGATTATTTTACTCTATCTAGCAGATAATTATCACTAAAAATCTGGATTTATCTAAGAAAAATTAATTCATCTGTTAAATTTATAATTAACTTTTTTTTTTTTTTTTTTTCAGGTTTTTTTTTTTTTTTTTTGCAGGAGGAAACTTATGATTATCTCCAATTCAAGACTAATTAATTTATCAAATATTAAAAGCTAGCAACGAAAGTATTAGCGATAATAACATTGTGCCGGCAATTATTTAATATGGTAACATTGCTTTTTTCACCTTGTATTTGTAAGCGGGGTTCTTTTTCTTAAACTGGTTTTCCATGTAAGTGAAATGATCCCTTGGCCAAACATAGGGTAATCAATCCCAGGTTAAATTGCCTGCCTGTCAATAGATTATACTAATAGGCTCATAATTAGTAATATTTGTAATTATTCTGCTTAAAGATCACAGCAAACATAATATCTTCAGCAAAAAATATATAAGTACACATCGCTAATCAAGTATAGTCTCATTGATTTTCAATGCAATTGGTGAGTGTGCGACTGAGAGATCTCAACACGGTTTCTCACATACTATATTTAGAGAAGCATTTCTACTCTTATATTACTTCTGTAGAAATTTGATAAGAACTCTGACAAAATAATTGTGTTTTACATGAATAAGTAACCTGAAAATAAAATAGATATAGTTCTCAAAGCACATATAAGAGAAGGGCAGAAGTTTTCTACAAGCTAAGGGGCACTCGCATTATTCACTCTTTTTATATGTCAGATAATTGCAGGCACCCAAAATGTCAATAGGCATGCTTGAGGTCTAAGTTTGCTTTTCATTAACTCCTGATGAGCCGATGCAGTCTCCAGCCTCACTTCTAACAAAAATCATAGATCTTTCTCTCTCAGAGTACATGGAACAGAAGCGGAAGAACCAACCTGTTACTCACACTTGATTGACCTGTATATGTGACGAACGAAAAACAGCGAGGCACGGAAACCCACTGTCCCAAGCATGAGAAAGAAGCCGTAGCATATGCAGGCCATGTACCCAAAGAAGAAAGAGGTTTGCATGAAGCCAGACATATCGGACCGTGCATAATAGTAATACAAGCAGTATGCATAGATAAACAGCCCAGTTGATCCACCACAGAGAAAAGACCTGTGACAATAAAAAGCAAGTTCAGCCCCATGCATACTTATATGAGAATATTACAGGTTTTACCAACTTGGAAAAACAATGAGAACCTATTTAACTCTATTCGAAATTAAGCAAAAACTAAGAGAAGGTTGATATCCTTACAATATAAAGTAATAATCAAGAACATGATAGACTGAAAGTGAATTTTGATTTAGAAAGTAGAAGATGATAACAATATAGGATTTTATATGGTATGCAAGGAGCTTAAGCAATCCAGGAAGAGAAACATAGGCATAACACACCATTTTCCGTGCAAGATAACCCAGGAGGAGATATGTAGGCATATCACACCAATTTCAGTGGAAGATAACAGTTCAACAGGAATTATAGATTGTCAAACATAATTTTTCCAGTAATAGAAACACTTGTCCCCTTAACTTTTTCTAGTGGACTATTAGCCATGTGAATTCTAGGGGATGCTATATCATTTGGTTAGGCATCATTTGATTAGATGACTCCCTTGTCCCTCTTTCTAAAGACATTCAACATTTTAACTCCCTTTTGGAGTTTATAATCTCCCTCGACCTTCTTCTTAAGGAATCCTAAGGGTTCCATACCACCTTCCCTTGCACCACCATTCACATGACGTAGACCACAAATCACAAAAGATCCAACAACCCCCCCCCCCCCCCGCTAGACCACCAAACACAAAAGATCCAAAACAACCCCCCCACCGCCCCATCCCCCAAAAAAAAAAAAAATAAAAAACCAAAGGTCTTCTATACCTCTATTCCAAATTTCTTCACCTTCGCATTACATTAATGAACAGCTAAAAAAAAAAAAAAAAAAAACCAAAGGTCTTCTCATACCTCTATCAAATTCTTCCTCGCATTACTTAATGAACAGCTCAACCTCATTGAACCCACCCCCGTTGCTCCTTTAACCCCTAAAAGGGAACACTTATTTTTTCTACATTGTTCAGATAGTCGGTATCATGCTGCAGTCTATCACAGAAGATTTGAAGTGAAGGAAAATAATCGGTATTATGCTTTAAATTATTTGAGTAAAGATTACCATAGAAAGATTTTCTGCAGTTGGGTAGAGTCCTAAATGGATAATAGACACATGAACATGCAAGAAAATTATTGCAAGGATAATATTTTGAAAAACTATTTAAAGGATGTAATTCAGATAATATTTGTTTGAATCATTTTTTTCTGTCGATACAAGTTTAAAGCTTCAGCTATATTATTTTGAATCAAAAATACATACAGGTTCTAGGATTTTATTGCCACATCCAAAAGCAATCATCTGTTGAAGAAAGTTTTTTATCACTCAATATCAAGACAGCAAAACCAAATTGTTTTATAACCATTATCGTCTCATTCATATTTCATCCAGTTGTTCACATGAATCTGTCTCCTACTCTAGCAAATTTTGATAAAAAAAACATCCATTAACTAACGGTCATCTGCATTTACCAAAGAAGCTAAGGACAAGAAGCATGCATTAGAATACGCAGGATTTTCTTCAGCAAAGAAAAGGCGGGTAGGTATACAAGAAAAAGTAATAAGACTAATTTAACTTTTAATATATTCAACTCTAGCGCAAAAAGTCAACAACAAGGATGAAATGATGAGAGAGAGAGAGAGAGAGAGAGCTGATACCTCCACCACCATTCATGATCTTCAGCAGCAAGTTGGAAGTATGTCAAAGCCACAGTTATGAATGCCGTGACAATCAGAAGAATGATGAAGACGATAAACAGGATGCTGTAGATGGTGTAAATCCTGTGACCCCAAACGCTGGCAAAAATATAGTACAGTTCAATGTATATGGCACTAAATGGTAGAAAACCTGCCATTGCCATTTGAGGAAGTGCACTCCTGTACCAAGGCAATTGCGGGATCTCTCGAGGATATTTAGTGGTGCGACAAGGAGCTTGAAACTCAGCCTTGCTGTTTTTGCCAGCAATACCACCCAACACAAGTAGTGGAGATGTTACTAATGTCCATATAAGGACTATTACCACAATAGTGCCAAAAGGCAGTGCTGCAGTTGCACTGTAAACAATGGCAACAGTGTTAAGGAAGCAGAATGTGAGGAACAAAGGTCCACAGAAAAGACACCCTGTCAGCAAAAGATTCCTCACCTGTAACACAGAAAATAAACAACTTAATTCACTTTGAAGAGTTCCACTCCCAAAGACTCCCATGAAAACTGAGAGGTAACTGTATTGCAAACAAAATCCATAAAAACATACCCAGTTCTCTCCTTCCAGTTGACAATAGAACGAGGTTGCAGTATATCCAGCAATCCCAGACGTCAGTGCATATATTACCACCAGGGCAGTAAATAGAGCTCCTCGATTGTATGGATAGAACACTCCAACCAGTGCAAGAATAAAAATAAATATAGTACTGGAAACACAACAATACAAAAAAAAATAAATAAATAAGCGATTGTCGTTGTGGCAGCATAATAAAGTAAAAATCATGCTTCAGAATAGATGCCATAGATCAGTTCCTTACAGGGTGAACAGCTGAGTGCCAGAACCAAGAGCTGCAGCAAAAAAAGATTTGTATTTGGGGTATCTGAAAACATCACCATGGATGTACTTCCATCCAGTCTCTTCCTGATCATCAGCCGCTTCCTCATCTTGTGCATACCTTGAAATAAACACACATGTAGTATAAGGAAAATAGATCCACAAACATACGAGTTAATTATAACAGCAATTCACAAACCAATAATTCTTACTTGACGAAATCATTCTTCAAGACCCGCATGAGGATTGTAGCAAGGAAACCAGTCAAAAGGAGAACTGTCACACATGAATTTATAATGGAGAACCAGTGGATCTCTAAGTGATGTGGCAGAGATGAAGACATTGAATACTTATCCATTCTCTTCTCGAAGGGAGTATCTGTTTCCTTCCACTTCACAGTGTAAAGGAACTCTGCATCAACTTCCTTGTCCTCAGTGAGATCCAACAATGAATGAGGATCCATACGAACACTCACTTCAATCACACGGTCCTTATTGTAAAGAACATCAAATTGAATATGCTTGTAAAGCAAGTACTTGTACTCACTGGGATCAGCCTTGCCTTCTTTGTCAACCTTTCCAATGAAGCCCCAAATGGGCAAATCATCATAGTACATTTGGAAGTAATAATCTTTACCAATTGCAGATCTAAACCGAGCAACATCCTCTTGCGTAAGCTTCTTCTGACAAACAACTGCTGATACCTTCTCATCTCTAAAGTTAAGTTTGTAAGGAGCACTAACTAAACGGTCACCATTCAAAACCTCTCCAAGAGCTTCTTTTTTCTCTTTCAAATGATCTATCATTGAATTTCAAATTGACCCAATTGTCAAAACGAACAAATCTCAGAACTTAGATTCATCAAGTACAAAACAATAACAACAACTAAGCCTTAAATCCCAAACCAGTTGGGATCGGCTATATGAATCCTTTGACATTATAGTCCAAAATCTCAAGAATAAGCAAGGGATAAAAATAAAGATCAAGTGTAAATGTAGCAAAAAAATTAAAGATCTATGCTCAACTATTAGCAAGCAATAACAAAATACAATCTATAAACAAGTAGAGGTAAGAACCTGGGACACAAAAAGGCAGATCAAAGTAGCGATAAGTTTCACTGCAAAAATCAATCAAACAAACCAAATCAATTAAACGTTACACAGTTCACAAAACAAACAAACAGAAAATAAATAAAACTGAATTTCAAGAAATGGGAAAGCCAGATCTAGAATTTACCTGGGGTTGTGAAAGGGGCCGACCTTATTTGCGTAGAGAGGGACAGGGTCGCCTTCCTTGTAGCGGTGATCGGAACCGTCTGATCTTACGTGGGTTACCGAACAGGCTATTAAAACCGCGAGAATCAGAGTGGTTAAGGGATCTTTCATGGTGGATTCGTTTGGCTTGTCCTGGTTTCAATTCTTTGGAACTGGAAAAGAATGAGCGACTAGGTCGGTCAACTGAAATGGTTGCTATATAGTTCGCATCTGGTTAGATCTATAATTTATTACATTACTCATTTCTTGTTTATTGTAAAGTGTAAGCAATTTTTTAATGAGTTAATAACGTAAATTTTACACTAATCGCAGATAAAATAATTGAATTAAATAAATCTATTTTGGACCTCACCAAACTCACAAAATTTAGAAAGTTTTATATGATATTAAATATATTAACTTTTATAAAAGTTGGATTATTTAATTTCATGAAATTGATTTGAAAATTCCATATATTTTTGTGAAATTTTTATGTTTAATTTCATAGAATCGAATTTCTATAATAAATTTTTTTAAAAAAAATTCTATAGTTGAAATTTAAATTTTTTCCGTTCTAAAATCAAAAATATAGGTTTCGACTTTAATTTATTTGTTTCAAAAAAAATGTTACTTTCAATAATAATTTTGAGTTTTTAAATAATAATATAAAAAATTTCATTGGCTTGGAATTGCAATTGAAAATAAAAAATACAACATATAAATATTTTTTAATGATTTGATGAAAATATAAGCAGAACGTCTAATTAACATTAAGCACTACGAAATATGGTTACTCAAAGTTTATTTTATTAATTAATATAAAAGTGAAGCATGTACACGTAATATAATAAAATTAAGAAATATATAAAAAAGTTCAATAACGCGAAAGGTTATATTATGTATCTAAACAAAAGTAGCATATGTTTTTTTGAATGGAACAAAAGTAGCATATAATTATATGAAAATTAAAAAAAATTTAAATTCATGTTTTTCAATAATCTCAATATCTTCAACATAAAAAATCAAAAAATAAAATAAAAGAATAGATTTCTTTAACGTATTTTCAATTTTAATTTATTTATAAAGAATTTCCATTTTTTTATAAAAATGTTTTGATAAAGAATTTCCAATTAAACATAATTGATCAAAAAAAAATTCAAACACCGCATTGGTAAAAGAAATTTAGACACTAAAAAAAAAGGCAAACATTTCATAGTCGAACCATATAATTGTTCCAAGCAAAATCTCCGGATACGATTCTCTACCTACTCAATCTTTCAAAACATGCGTACGCAGTGGATTTTAACATCTAGCATTACTACGATTCCATATATTTCAATCCTAAATTAGTAATCACAACCCAACCTAATAATACCATAAATATTTTATTTATTTATGTATTACAGTATTAGTCAATATAACTTAGATGGCTTAACATGCAAAAATACTCTAAACTTCATATTTTGTAGATATAAAAAATTCGTAAACTTTTTACCGTCTCTTGCTCATTAAATTTGACAGTTTTTTACTTCTCATGAGAATTTAAAAATAATTGAATCGTTTTATTTCTTAAAAAAAAAAAAAAAAAAAAAAAAAGAATTTAAAAATAATTGAATCGTTTTATTTCTTAAAAAAAAAAAAAAAAAAAAAAAAAAAGACAGTTGACTAAATTATCTTTTCATTGATGCTTATTTAAGTGAAACAAAATTTTGTGATTTTGCAAATTGGGTGTCTGAGATGTAAAAGTTAAATTAAAGTGATTTTGTAATAAATTGTAAAGTTGGTGATATTTTTATAGATTTAATCTATTAGACAATGATAAAGTTGAAAATAATTAACATTATTTTGATTTTCTAAAAATCTCAGTTATATATAATAAAAAAAATAAAACAAAAACCGTCAAATTTAATGGAAGATAAAGAGTATTTTATTACAAAATTGCATTTTACTCATCGTTATAATATTTTTACAATATTTCAGCATTTCAGATATGCTCTAAAAAATATTGGAACTTTCAGCAAAGGTACACATTATTTACACTCAAAACGTCCCTTTCCAGGTAGTTCTCACTGTTAACGAGTAGCTTTCAAGTTTGGAAAAGCTTGTAATTAACGTTAGGGAAATTTATTATTTAGTCCCTCAGGTTTTACAAAATTAATCAACTAATCTAAGGTTTTGCCAAAATATCTAGCTAGTCCCTCAGGTTTAACTCCGTCTAATTAAAAGGTCCTTCCGTCCGAAAATTTGATTTTTTTCCGTTAATTATAGACTAAAAGACTAAAACACCCCTCCCGCTTGACGTGGACCATAAAAGGAAAAATTATTATTCTAGGTCCCTTCAAGTTTCTACATAAATTATCTAACTAATCCCAAGTTTTGCACGAATACTCTAACTAGTCCTTAGGTTTAACTCCGTCTAATTGAAGGGTCTTTCCGTTCGAAAAGTTTAGTTTTTCCGTTAATTGAATGACTAAAAGACTTAAACATCTACTCCTAGCTGACGATGGACCAGTATGAGCCCGATAGGAAGGAATTGTATAACTAAAAGACTAATAATAATTTTCCCCTTATAAAGTCGATGAACGAATAATTCATTTTTTCTCTCTTAATGTTACGGTTCATTATTAGTTTTAAGATTATGATATTTGAAATCGAAAAAACCACTTACAATTATTAATTATGTCTTAAAATATTACTATCTTTCATTCTATAATATTCGTTCTACATTTAGAATTTTTCATGTTTTTAAAAATTACTTAACATTTGTATAAAATATAATAACATTATGAATAAATTCTTAGACAATATCTCTAATTTAATATTAATCTCTAGAAAATCATCTAAAGTGAGTCAATAATTATTAATCATACACAAAGGGTAATATTGAAAACATATTTTATTATTCCTTTAAAACCCAAATTATAACAAGTATTTTAAACTAATTAGAACAAATATTTTTTAGAACAAACTATTTTCTCAATACTGACAAAGTATTATGGAAACAAAGCAGTATTAAAAAAGGATAAAAAATTAATTTTGATGTTCTAATTAAAATATTTATTAAATTAGTAAATCATGATAGTTAATACTCTTCAAAAAGTAAATACTCTCATTTTCTTTTTTACCCCAAATTATCATCATAGTTTCTTTTTGAGAAAAAAATTTAATTAAACATATTTTCTACTTTTATTCCATACTTTAATTATGCAAATGTTTATCAAACGAAACGAATTACTATTATCATTGTATTAAAAATCTAAAAAAAAAAAAAAACGATCAGTATCTCCATCTATTCATAATACTTTTAATGTTTTCTATGGTGATTAAGTTTAAATTTATTTTTTATTTAAATTATAACAAGAATTAATTAATTTTTATTACGTAATCTAAGTAGAGAGGAGATATTATCATGATTTTTGGAAAATTATAAAAATAATTATTAAATTTAATATAAATAATGGATAAAATGTGAAAAAAATTAATTACTTCATTAATATTTCTAAAAAAAAAGATTATTTTTGCGGAGAAACACCAGCTCTAAATAAATAGTTTTTATTAGATAAAAAAATAATTATTTCATTTGTACCTTATTATCTATTACATTTCATAAACTCTTGAATTATGAATATTAATATTTAACGCAAGGTATATCTGTGCACAAAAAATAAACTAGGCTATTATCATTTATGGCATGGAAGGAACAAAATGGGAAACAAACTAGGTATATCATTATTCGCTTATACTGGGTCCACGTCAGATAGGAGAGGTGTTTATAGTCGTTTTAGTCTCTCAATTAACGGAAAAAAAACTAACTTTTTTTCGGACGGATTCAATTAGACGAAGTTAAACTTGAGGGGACTAGTTAGAATATTTTCGCGCAAAATATTGGGATTAGTTAGATAATTATGTAAACCTGGGGACTAAGATAATAATTTCTTTCCTTTATGGGTCCACGTCAGCTAGGAGAGGTGGTTTTTAGTCTTTTAGTTTATATTAACGGAAAAAAACCAACTTTTTAGACGGAAGGAACCTTCTTAATTAGACGGAGTTAAAAACCTGAGGGACTACACTAGTTATTTTGGCAAAAAAACCTTGATTAGTTGGAGTTAATTTTGTAAAATCTGAAGGGCTAAAATAAATAAATTACCCTTAACGTTTATTGGCATATTTAATCGTTTTAAATTTAATGTGACAAGAAAAAAAAAGTCTAATCGGCATTTTTTTTTAATACTTTGTGTTTCATTATTTTTTCAAATTTACGGCAATTTTTAGATTAATTCAAATTTACGAATTCTTGATCATTGGTTTTAATTAGTACTAATATTGGCTTCATATAAATTTGCTATGCCCGTTTCGTTCAAAATAATTAAGTTCGGTTTTAATTAGCAATACCAAGCAAAAGCTTTCGACGTCCATTATTTAAGAATAAGCAAATGAACATAATACATTAGATTATTCTATTTTTCGTCCCATAATTTTTATTCTTGATTTCGCTTATAGGACACATAATGGAAATAGTTTAATTTTTTTAAGAAAATTTTTAATTTACTTTACTTAAATTATAACTTTTACTTTTAATGTTTAATATATTCTTATATTAATATTCCATTATTTATTTCAAATTATTATAATTGTTGAAAAGAAATGAGCTAAAGAAAACATACCTATTAAATAAAAATAAATACTAAACTTTAAATATTATTTTACTTTCTAAAAAAATTATTATTTCACTTTTAAAAAGAACATTTTATAGCACGGACCGTGAGTAATATTTAAATTCCCGAGAGTAACTTAAAATTTTTATCTGTTGTTTATTTGTTTATTAAAAAAAAAAAAAATCATAAACATTTCTCCTGATAGTTCACCTTAAAAAAGGGAAGATAGAACTTTTTCAACAGCCCAAGGAGACTACCGAAATCGAGTAGTATAAAAGAAAAGCGCGTTTCGACAGTTTCATGGGCCCCCGAATCAAGCTGCTGTTATTCATTTCGATCCCAAACTCTAAAAGTGACTTCATGTTACTGCTTAGTGTGCTTACTGGATAGTATTCCTACTCAGTAGATAGGCCAAGCACACTAAAATCCAACCGAACAATATAGTTAAAATTGATTGTTTAGGTGATTTTTAATAACCATCTTGTTGGTGTTTTTCTATTTGCCTGTACTCTCATCATTATTTGTTAATTTATTAGTGCTCTGTTTGGTTTTTAGACGTATTCAGGCGGTTAGGTTCTTTGAAATTCGATTTAACAACAGTATTTCACGTTTAT